ATATCTTTGTCTTAGGAGAGCTTCCCTGGAAGGAAGGGAAGGGCTTTCATATGTTGATGTGCTATCTGATTTAGGTATAGTTGATTCCCTAACAACAAGTCTCATGATGGAGATGTTACTGGGCCCACTTGAGCAAATCAATGAACAATGGGAGGACTGTGACCATGACCGTGATCCCCTAACACTTGGAGGTTAAGCTCTAGAAAGACTGAGCAGGGGGAGAGTAGCATGGGCAAAAGTAGGAGACAGGAAAGAGTGGAATGTGAGACTGGAAAGGGGCAATCAGTGAGACTGGAACAGGCATGTGGAGAGAACGGAATAAATGGTAACTGATCACCAACTAGCATCCCTGTTCCCTCCTTCATGCGTCTGTTGGCAGCAGCAGGCCAGGGTGGGAAAGTGGCTCTGGCCACTGAACACACAAGGTGGGAGAGAGCCCACAGTGTGTAAATTCCTTTTACCTGAGCTGTGTAAATTCCTTTCAGCTCAAGTAATGCTAGGAGTGCTCACACATTAACAAATATTCGTGGGCTCTCAGGGTGGCTCCCTCTTGCTTTTCACATTCAGTGCTCTCCAACTGCTTCCCCAACCAAGACGGCCATTGCCTTGGGCCAACAAAGGAGGAACGAGGGACAAGCTGATTGGTTATCAATTGTCATGTATTCTCTTCTCTCCCAAACTCTCTTCACAACTCTCACCTCCAATTCTCTCCAATTTTCTCTTAGCTCTCTTCAAACATCTCTCTAACTTGCTCCACAATGCTCTCTCCAACTCTTGCCCTCTAACTGTGTCTCTCACTTTGCCCGCAGCTCCCATTCTGCCTTTCTCAAAATCTCTACCTCTCTCTCTTCTTCTAAATGTCCTCAATCACCATTTTAACCTCCTCTTCTCTAACCACGCCTTCCAAAACCACACCTCCCCCAGGAAGTGCAGTCAACATGTTTATCAAGCCTTCCTGACCACATGCAGCCCACATGGGCAAAACAGCACTTAAGGTGTGTTTCTCCTCTCCTTAGACCAGTAACAATTAACATCTTAATTCACTTACTAATATTTGCCATTCTGTATGGACACAGTAATAAACACATTTAGGCTTGGAGGGTGACTCTCCTAGGGACATCTCACCACAGACTCAGATTACAGTGCTTGGGCCGGATTAATCATTCCTAACCCTAACAGGGTCCAAATCTAGTTTCTACTTTTTCGATCATGACAGAATTTGTCCATGTCCACGCTCTTAACTTATAGTTAAGTATTATGGCACTTTGGCCAGGCCCATTTCAAGGCCAGGGTAGGTCACAGCTTGCCCTGGGTCCATCCAGTCCCTCGTCACGACCCTGCTTTGGGGATCTAGGAAGTAATAGCAAATGAGGCTTAAGTAAAGAGAATAAATGTCCAAGGTAGTATTATCTGGGGTCAATTAACTCGCAAGTTACAAGCTTGTCTTTTTAACTGTCTCCTGCTCCTGTGTCTTCCTGTGTCCTGGTGCAACTACACCACCTCCATTTCGCTAATGACATCGTTCTAATAACACCAAACATTAGCCAAGCAGCACAAATGCTGATCAACTTTGACTGTGAGTGTGGAAAGATCAGACTATAGCTGACTCTCACGAAGACAATATTTATGAGAAATGGTCTCATTCCTGATGCTCCATTCATTCTCAATAGAATGAACATCTCCAAATGCAACAGTTATGTGTACCTAGGTCAAAAAGTCAACATGACGAATGACCTGGCACCTGAGTTGCACAGGAGGAAGAGAGCAGCTTGCAATGCCTTCAAGAGCGTCGAAGAAATAGCTAAGAGGACGAAGAACCTCTGGCTTCAGGCACATCTCTTCGATTCCACTGTTCTTTCTGCATTACCATATGCCTTAGAGACCTGGACCCTACAAAAACAGGATGAGAACGCTATTTGGCTCTCCCAAAGAGGAATTGAAAGAGCTATGCTTGGAGTATCATGCTTCACTCAAATGAGAGAAAGAATCTGTAGTTCCGACCATTGACGATCAAGAATCAGGGACGCTGTCTCATTTGCCAAGAAGTCAAAAATCAGATGGGCTGTACATGTAATGAGATTTGGAGACGACCACTGGACTAGAGCCATTACCAACTGAATTCCACAGGACATCAAAAGATCTCGTGGCCACCCACCTATGAGATGGTCAGAATTTTTCGTCAAGATCCTGAATGATCGGTTTTAGGCTCTTTGTGTTCCAAGAATGAGCAGATGCCATTGGGCTACACTAGCATGTGACAGGGACAAATAGAGCCATTACTGGCACCTGCTTGAGCAAATCGATGAGTAGCGGGATGTCAAATGATCAAGTGAAGTGATACTGTGTCATTATAAAAAGCAATTTCTCTCAAGTAGTTAACCATGCAAAGGTCATTAAGCAGAAGAGGAAAAACAATATTTACAAGTCAGCAGAGTCTGATCAGGAGGCAAAGGTAATTGACTGGTTGGGGGAAACAATCAACAAACCCAAGCTCCCTGTGGCCAGGAAGGAAGGGAAAACCACTGTTATCCTACACCACGCCACTCATTTATTTTGTGAATTCACATTCTACAACTTTTTTAAAAAATATATTTACTCAATTAGTCTTTAGACTTTCTCTATAAAGTAACCATTATTGTCACCAGTTTACAGATAACAAAAGATAGAGAATAGTCAGAAATCTGTTCAGCAAATATGCATTAGAAAAAAGTCAGGTAAACATTCAAGTCCTCTGGCCCTACAGATTGAACTCTTAGTTCACATAGGGGAACTTCTCTCAATTTCCACAGGAATGTTTCTCAGGAATAGCTAAGACACAGGAAGCTTGACATGATTTTGTACATATGATCTTTCTAGTAAAGGTATTTACAAATTAGTAAGAAAAAAATCTCACTAATATTAAGCAGCTCATATTCCAACACTCAAGACATTAAATTATATTTACATCGCTTTATGACTTTTCTAATGTTAGACCACTCTGAAGGAAATAATGTGCTATAACACAGAATATGAGATTCATTCTTCCAGGTAGGGTTGAGGAAGTTTAATATAGTAGACATTTCCTGATACTTCTTTAATCAATTGCTTCTTTTTAATTTAAACATTATCCTAATGTTTTAACATTAAATAGTTTTGAAACATACAGCTAGATTTGTTTTCCCAGCCTCGTATAATTTAGGTAGTAAAAATGAACAATATGAATTTTTCAAATGATCATCAGAAATATTTAATGTATGGAATATTCTGATAGAGTAATTCTACTCAGGTTTTGTGGGCCAGAGTGATAAAACAGCAGATAATGCACTTGCCTTATATGCAGCCAACAAAGGTTCAATCTCTGGCACCCTGAGTACTGCTTAGTATGGTCCCAAAATAGAAATTAGAGAGGGAGATAAAGAGAGAAAGAAAGAAAAAAATGAAAGAAAGAAAGAAAGAAAGAAGGAATTTCATTTAGATTTTTTATTTTGTCAATTTGAAATTAAACCTGTTTCTGGAGTGATAGCACAGCGGGTAGGGCATTTGTCTTGCATGCAGCCAACATGGCCGACCCGAGTTCGATTCCTCCACCCCTCTCGGAGAGCCCGGCAAGCTACCGAGAGTATTCGATATGCCAGACACAGTAACAACAAAGTCTCCAATGGAGACGTTACTGGGCCCGCTTGAGCAAATCGATGATCAACGTGAGGGCCTTTACTTTACTTTACTAGTGTTGCTATCAATTATATAAGAAAAACATGCAATTAAAATACATAACAAAAATTATGTATACAAATTATTTGTTACATATAGAGATAGTGTGTTTTCTTCATGAATAATATTTGGTACATTTCCAAAATGTCTAGTGTCCAGTATAAAAGAAAAGACTCATTTTGTGTGTCAATATCCCTATAGATTCATTTGAAAGCTCATCACAGAACCCAGGATTCCAAATGTGCAAGCCAGACTATAAAAGTTCTTAGAATATTTATGTTTAATAAACTTCCTATTCAGAAGAATGTCAAGTAGAGTCTCATAAAGTCTCACTTTGGGGTTGAGCCTAATGAGGTGCAAAAGAAATCACCAGAAATTTCCACCTGGCATCAAGATCTCCATTTTAGCTATGCTGTGTTCTCAATGAAACTCTGAAAGACAATTCATTTATGATCTCTCAAAAATTTATTGAGCTTCATCCAGTGGATTTTTCTGTTAAGGAAATACAAATTTAAGCTTTGGATAAAATTCTCTATGGAGTTTATAATCTAATAAAGATGAACAACAATCAATACTAAGAGTCAAGCTAGGGAGAACTTTAGCTGTGACCTCTATATAATCTAAGGTTAATATCAAGCTTTTCAGTTAAAATGATGCTTATGGACCAGATTTTTTACTATTAGGCTATGTAAGTTTAGTCTTTATTTATTTTACATTCAAGACCTCTTTAAAGTTACTGTGTTCAGACTTAGGATGCTCAGCGACCTATAGGGAATAAGAACCTTGATGTTTGGAACAAGAAAATTTTGGGCTGAATATACATACTTAGAAGCAATTAATAGAATGACAAGTAAGGTCAGATGGAAACACATATAACAAGGAGGCAGAGAAAATGGCTATAGTAGTGCTATAAATATCAAAGCCCATCTGAAGTTTCCATATACAATCAGAACCCTCCTCTCACTCTTATCATCACCGGTAACTGAAATAGCTAAATACAAATAACATCTACCTTGAAGAGTTTCATCTTTCGGTATTAAAATTAAGTTGTTGAAGCTTATCATGGTGTCAAGATAACAGATTTGACATGACCAATGGTCCAGTTCATCTCCTCTTTGCTTTTATAAAGTAGCACAAATTTGTCTTTAGGACCAAAACCCATATTCTTTATGGTGCATATCTGTAAAAAAAGAGAAATAAGATTTTTTTCTTCCTCTGAGGTGATTTTGTTTGTATATTTGCTTCGATCAGCAGCTTTTAAATGGCTTACTGAACTTGTGTCATAAAGTCTGTAACAGTTTGGAATTCAACCTCGGATCAAGGTTCTGTACGGTGACTGAGACTGAATGACTGACTAAACAAAAGAGATATTATATGAAGGTCTTAGAGTTTTTTTTTTTAAAAAAATATAATTGTGACATTTGTTTCTTCAGTGTCAGCTTCAGTGTAGGTATTACAAACAAAACTATGGAATCTCAAAATCAACATTTGAAGACAACACTGTCACTGTCTTTAAGAAGATTTCACATTTCTGAAGAGTATGGATTTCTTCTTCCAAATCCGCTGGTAAGAATCTATCCTTGGACCTGATCAGAATAGGTTCTTAATATACTGATTTGTTTCTTGCTTTATCTAATCTTTAAAATAAATGGAATATAAATACCAAGCAATTTACTGGGTAAATTTCTGTTGAATCTGTGAATATTTTCTTTATGTTAGAATAACACTTCATGGATATGCTCTGAGGAACAAAGTAAAAATTAGTAAAGGTCACACATTCTGACATTCTTTGCTTTGATTCTAGAAAAGGCCAGCCTCAATTCTGAGATTAGAACTAAATAAAGTCTCCAGGTCTGATTCTTATTTACCAAAAGATAATTTAACACAAACCACCTACATTTCTATATTTTGATCAATTTAAAACGGAGTATTTTATCAAGTTGCATGGCATAGTTTTGTCAGTATGTTTCAAGGTATGTAGTTTGGGATTAGTGAGAATATGGCAGGTGAGGCATTTGCCTTGCATGCAGCTGACCCAGGTTTCATCTGTGGCATCACATATGTCCTCCCACCAAGCATCCCCAGGAGGCATCCCTGAGGAGAGACAGGAGTGAGTCCTAGAATTGTCAGGTATGGCCTAAGAACCAAAACAAAACAAAAATTTAAACTGTGTCTTAGTTTGATTTGGAAATATTTGTTTATCACAAAACATCAATTTCTTCAGTTTTGATAATTTATTATGACTCCAGTACTTGATAAAAACATTAAGTTGTATATTACCTTGTGTAAATTGAGTCATAAGCTTACTCAAAATTTTATTTTTATTTAGTTATACATAGTATTTTATTTTGTTAAATTTCCTGTCTCTGGAGGCTGCTAAAGAAGGGTAGCTTATCACTACCCACAAATCAAAATTTATTATTTTTATTAAATTAAGGACACTAAGAAATTAAATGAAGATTAGGGAAAAAGTAAAAATGTTAAACACTATTCATAGTCCCACCAAAGAACAAATTACTTTTGGTGTTTGAAAAATCATTCACGTAAAATTATAAGTATGATTAAATACATAATTTTGAAAAGCTGTAAAGATGTTATTTCAGTGTCTCACTGCATACCCAATCCTGTGTTCTGCATTTTAATATTGTAAAATAAATTTTTCCTCAATTGATGTTCTATTTAATACTATTTAACACAGATATGCATATATTAAAATTTTATATCAATTTTAATTTACTGTTGCCATATACAAAACATTTATTAAGAAATTGTGTTCTACCTTTGGTGTTTTAATTATAATAAAAACATTTACAAAAAATCATTATGATTTTTTTTTGGTTTTGGTTCTGGTCTTTTTTTTCTTCTTCTTTTTTATTGAATCATCATAAGGTACAGTTACGAAACTTTCATGTTTGAGTTTCATCATACAATGATCGAACACCCATCCCTCCATCAGTGAATATTTTCTACCACAGGTGTCCCCAGTATCCCTCCCATGCCTCATTCTGCCTCTGACAAACAACTTGCCCCATATTCTCTCTCTACTTTTGGGCATTATGGTTTGCAATACACTATGATATTTTAAATAGTGACTAGTAATACTAGTAACTAAATTTGAAATTGTTAAAACTCCTTTCACATCCTTTGTTCGAATCTTTTATTTGTTCTGTCTCTAGGATCAAATTAATGTCCCTCTATGAACTCAAAAGTTTTTCAGTTTTTCTAACTGGATGCTATATATTATTTCAATTTATTGATTTTTTAAAAAAATGTGTTTTAAAAATTTTATTGATTTTAATTTTTATTAGTCACCAAGGATTACAAAGTTATACATGATTGAGTTTCAGGCATACAATTTTATACAATGTTTCAACTTGGATCCCTTCCCGAGTGTTCACTTCCTTCCACCATGGATCCTGCTTCCCTCCAATTCACCAGCCTGTCTCTATTTTAAATTGCTTTTTATTTGGTTGAATGAAGTTAGGTAGATGCTTTGGTAGAACTTTGAATAAGATCAATGTGAACATTATACTCCCACACTCAAGAAAATTTTGTTAGAGAACATGAGATCAAGAAAAAAGAGCTTTCTATAGCTACTGAGTTTCATTCTCAAATCTTTTACTCAAACCTCTTGGGGAAAAGAAATTTAATTTTTTTTTTAAATCTTAGACTTTTCAAATCTCATCTTCATAGGAGGCATTTTAAACAATATGTTACTTTGGTCTTCCCTCAAACAATTTACTATAACATTGTCTTCAAAACAATTTTATTTTTTCTAGATTTTTCAACTTCTTTAAAATAACTTTTTATATTATATACAGTTAGGGGCTGGAGTGATAGCACAGCGGGTAGGGCGTTCGCCTTACACGCGGCCAACATGGCCGACCCGAGTTCGATTCCTCCACCCCTCTCGGAGAGCCCGGCAAGCTACCGAGAGTATTCGATATGCCAGACACAGTAACAACAAAAGTCTCCAATGGAGACGTTACTGGGCCCGCTCGAGCAAATCTACGATCAACGGGAGGGCCTTTACCTTACCTTTTACCTTATTATATACAGTATACTTATAGGAATGCCTAATATTTTGTCTTTCAATATGTTACTGGGCTGGAGCGATAGCACAGCGGTAGGGCGTTTGCCTTGCACGTAGCCAACATAGCCGACCCGAGTTCGATTCCTCCGCCCCTCTCGGAGAGCCCGGCAAGCTACCGAGAGTCTCTTGCCCGCACGGCAGAGCCTGGCAAGCTCCCCGTGACGTATTCCATATGCCAAACACAGTAACAACAAAGTCTCCAATGGAGATGTTACTGGGCCTGCTCGAGCAAATTGATGATCAACGGGAGGGCCTTTACTTTTAATATGTTACTGATTTTAATATATTAATATTTAATTCAAAAATTATTCTTTTTATTATATTGCTGTACTCTTTAAAATAGATATTGCACTTCAAACCTAACGGTTTTGTGCAACTTAGAATATTATTTGTTCCATTTAATTAAAGGAAATCACCTTATTTTTCTTTGTCCTTTTGGCTGCAATCTTGTATCTATCACATTCATTCTTATTAAAATTTAATTTTTTATTATAAACAGTATGTTTAAAGTACTATTGTAATGGTCATTTTGATTCTAGTGTTTATGATATTATCAGTACCCAGTTTTCTACTGTTGAAACATCCTATTTATTTATTCAATTTGGGGGTGACACCTGGTAATATTCAAGGTTTCTCCTGACTGCTCTCAAGGATCACTTTTAGTTGGGTTTGGGGGCCATGTGGAGTGCCAAGGATCAAACCTTAGTCAATTGTGTGCAAGACAAACACCTTGCCCAAAATATTATCTCTCTGGCCTCTTATTTATTAAATTTTCCCTGCACCCATTGTGTATAGGATTTACTCCCTGCTCTGTGCTTAGGGATTTTTCCTAGTAGTTTTCAGGATAGTGCTGGAAATACAGATCATGATGGCTGGATAAGACACTTTATCTATTTCACTATCTCTTTAGTCTTTTTATTTTTTTTATTTTTTTATTTTTTGCTTTTGGGGTCATATGCCACGTTTCTCAAGGGTTACTCCTAGCTCTGCACTCAGGAATTACTCTGGACGGTGTTTGGGGGACCATATAGGATGTCGAAGATCAAATCTGGGTCAGCTGTGTACAAGGCAAATACTCTCCCTTCTGAACTATTGCTCCGATCCTGGCCCCTATTTTTTTTTTAAAAAAGAGATAAAATATATCTGTGCTTTGTAGATTCAGTGTTAATTCCAGTGGTTATCGGCCAGAAAGTGTGAGCCTAAGCATTTGATGCTCAAGTGCTAGGTCTCCACCTAGCCAATGTGGTGGCATTAGGATTCAACTTTTATTTTTGTAAATGGTAAGAATGTGCTCTATCCCTGGACTTTTCTCACCCACCCATTCCTGTTCTATTTTCGTCCAAACTTTTTTGTTTTTCTTTTTGGGTCACACGCGGCAATGCACAGGGGTCACTCCTGGCTCTGCACGCAGGAATTACCCCTGGTGGTGTTCAGGGGACCATATGGGATGCTGGGAATCGAACCCAGGTTGGCCGCATGCAAGGCAAACGCCCTACCCGCTGTGCTATTGCTCCGCCTCTTGTCAAAACTTTTAAGTTTTATCTTTTTGTTTAGATAAACTTTAATGTTACTAGGGATGAGGTGAAAGAAGAAACAGAGGTTATTTTTGGCCGCTTGTTTGTTTTTGCGGTGCTAGAGATAGAACCCAAGACCCCATGAACTGAAAATAATTATGTGACCACTAACTACAATCCTGACCTATTCTGTGCTATTTTCTTAACCAGAGTTTCAGCTGGTCATATTTATTTTACTAATTCTGTGATTTATTATTCTGTTTATGATAGTTTCTCATGCACATAATTTTAACAACACACTCATCACATTACTATTTCTATAAATACTTTTTAATTAATTAATTAATTAATTTGTTTTGCTTTTGGGGCAAAAGACAAGTGTACCCAGGGCTTTCTCCTGGCTCTTTTTTCAGGAATCACTCCTAGTAAAGCTCACGGAACCAGATGTGATGCCAAGTATTGAACTGGAGCCAAGTCATGGACCCGACCTGCTGTACTATCTCATCAAGCCTGAAACACTTGATTTTAAAATGCCTATTCTTTCAGATTTTTAGACATATTGATAAAATATATTAAAGGAAAGTATGTCTTTGCAATACTATCCTGAACACACCTTGGAATAACACTCTTATTGTAAGACTAATTTTTTAAGAGATGCCCTTTGGTACATGCGACTATTGATTAGGCCTAATCTCTCAAATTATTTATTAACTTGTAGATGTTTTTTTCTAGAAAAGAGCTTCAAATTATTTCTGCCAAATATAAAAAGTTTAAGTCACACTTCCTCAAGGGATATTAACCTATTTCAACATTATTTTAAATATGTACTTACTTAAGTCTATCAAGAATTACTATACTGATGATTTATTAGTGGATTAAACTTATTAACTATATCATTATACTTCAATATGTAATTTTTAAATGTTTTGAAAATTTTATTTTGATGTGAGCTTTGGTATAAATATCTTAAAATATGAATATATGTATATATATATTTCCCTCTATGATTTGTGCCTACTATCTGAACCCCCTCAAATGTGGTGTGGTAATTATGGAGAATGGGGAGGGAGTGTCTACTGATGTGTGCAGGAATATGTTCACTCATATGTGAGGTTCGGACTGAGCATGTAGGGAGTGGCCTTGAGTGTGGCGGTGGTTAGGTTGTGGAGGTTTTTGACTGCTGGGGCTGGGTCCCTTGGGAAGGGGAGGGCTCTCCGCTGCTCTCCTGTGGGGTGCCACAAGTGAAAGAGCCTGCCAGGAGTTTGGTGGCAAGGCTATGAGGGCCTCATATTTTGCTCCCTTCTGAAGAAGTAGCTGTGTGATCTGGATGGCGGCCAATGGTGAGATTATCTGGCACCAGCAGAAGGTGGTTTATGAGTGTGACCCCTGAGAAATGGGCAGACAATCACCACTTCTGGGTCCCATTGAGCCCAGAGTCCAAGGTGACGGCATTACCTGGGTTCCGTGGGACTTCGCTCATGTGGGGAGCGGCCTTCAGCGGCAGTTGGATTGTGGAGGTTTTCCGCTGCTGGGACTGGGTCCTTGGGGCAGGGAGGGCTCACACCTTCTTGGTCATCTTGCTCTATATAAATATTTTACATATGCATGCAAATACACAAATGCACTTGCATGTACTTGCAGTAATCAAAACATAAGAAAATATTTTCAAAAATATTAATGACCATCAAAAATAAATATAAACAATGCCCTCATGAAGTTATAAATTTAAAAAAAGAAAACATATTGTTCAATAGTGGAAAGATAGCTAGCACATATTTTCTTTCTGCTACATTTTGCAGAAATTTCTTAGACATTTCTATCATCTTGTCATAGATACTGAATATATTATTTTATTTCATCTATTTTTAATATATATTGCAGGAAATTTGGGCCACACCCAGCAATGCTCAGGGCATGTAGAACCAGCACCTCTGGCTCTGTGTTCAGGGATCACTCCTGGCCAGCCAGGGGAAACATATAGATTGACAAGGGTCAAGTAAGGGTTAACTGCAAGGGTTAACTGCATACCTAGCAAATGCCTATCCATTGTTGTACTATTGTTCTCTCCCTCCCTCCCGTTGTTCATCGATTTGCTCAAGCGGGCCCAGTAACGTCTCCATTGGAGACTTTGTTGTTACTGTGTTTGGCATATCGAATACGTCACGGGGAACTTGCCAGGCTCTGCCATGCGGGCGAGATACTCTCGGTAGCTTGCCGAGCTCTCCCAAATATACAGAATCTTTAATTTAGCAGTTAAAATTCTTAGTTTGTTGTAAGGAAATATTCAGAACATGCTTAAAAGTTCATGTATAAGTATAACTGTTTAGATTCATTAGTAGCAGTGCAAAATGATAAAGCAATTAGTTTTATCCATAACAGACTATTAAAATACCTTCAAAGTTTAGGTAGATGAAATAGGTGAACTGACAATAAAATTCTGACAATGGAAAAAACATTGTTTCATGCAAAGTTCTCAGGTGTTCCTGTCTTAGACACTTTAAAAATAAGAGTCTAGCAATTAAAATGTACTGATATAATTCATTGCATTCTTCAACTCTGGAGAAAACCTAAAGCAGACAGTGAATTTTTTAAGTATATGAGCTTCAACTTCAGGACTTGCTGGACCATGGGGCCTGAGTTCCACCACAGGTTGTGATTTTGTAGATCTGGAGTAGTCTGAGAATTTGCGTTTAGTAAATATTTAGGTGATACCCATATTGCCATGCCCATATTGTCATGCTTTGAGAACTATAGATTCAGAAAGTGCATGATTTTCTGGTACTGGTACAGTGTCAGAAAATTCAAAGCATTTAGGCACAGCTGGTAGGGTATTTGCCTTGCTTGAGGCCAACCCATACTCAATCCTCTGCACCCCAAATGGTCCTCAGAGTCTCCCAGAGGTAACCCCTTAGGGTAGAACATTACCAGATGTGACCTGAAAACAGAACAAAACAAAAAACTCATGCAGTTATTTTGAATGATGAAATAGATAAGAAATATGTGATGCTTTATTATTATGATATTATTTTACTGCTATGGTTCATTTTTATAACAGCCTTATGGGAATATAATTTGTATATAATAAAATCAAAACAATTTAAGTGCTTAATTAAATAAGCTTTGATGTCTCATCTAGTGCAACCAAGTAGAACCAATGTCTAATAAATTTAGAAACATTTTCTTACCATGAGATTTTCACCTATTTTTATAGTCTAAAAAGGCAACCACCAGTCAGCTTTCTGTGACTATAGATAAATGTTGTGTTTTCTAGAATTTTCTGTAAAGGAATTGTATACTACCTGTTGGATTTCCCTGCTAAAGTTCATATATTGCCCAAGTAGCTTGCTCTTTTATATTACTCAGTAGTGTTCAAATGTATGAATGTACCAGTATGCTCATTCTTTCACCTGATGAGGGATATTTCTGTTGTGTGTAATTTTGAATGAGGCTGTTGTAAAGGTTCCCAGGTGCATCTTGTCACATTGATTTCATTTCTCTGGGTTACTAGATGTAGAGAAACTCTGGATGTGAGAATGTGAGATTGCATGATTACCATGGGTTTTCTTTTAGGAGAGGCTGCTCCACTGTCTTCCAAGGGGACATCCATATTATCATCAGTGACGTAGAGGGGCTCCTGAGCCCCATATTCTCACCCCAACACCTGGTAACAATGACCCACTATTTTAGTCATTCCCATAGGTTTTTAGTCCTGTCTCTCTGTGGTTTAAATTTGTATTTCTGAGATGACACCTGAATTAAACATTTTGTTGAAGATTTGATTTTTTTTAATTGAAGTACAAAGAAAAGAGACTAAGTATTTAAAATTCCTTTTTAAAAATCCATGTAGAAAGGATTATGTATGCTATTATTCATGCTTCATTTTAATTTTTAAAGATTGTTTCATTTTCTCTAGAATTGCACTGTATCTTGTTAAATATATGCTCCAGATGTAGAATCTTTGTATTTAGTCATTGGTGTATCTGCATTGCTTTGCCAGAATCTAGCACATAGTAAATTCTCAATATTCACTGTACTAAATTAATCTAAATCCTGCTTTTAGACTTTGAACTAAAAGTGGCTATTGTCTAAAGCTATTTTAGATCTCAGGTAGATCTAAAATACTGAGATATTTCTACTTTGAATGCAGAAAAAACTTCCAGATCATTATGGGCCTTGGATGGAAATTGTCAATAAACTTCCTCACTTGATTGAGAGTCACCAACTTCAAGCTCAAGTGAACAAGGTAAACCACTTTTATCTTTCTTCTCCTAAATCCCTTCTCACCATCCTACTTTTATTTCATATAACTTCCTTCCCCTCCCCACCCTCCCCACCCCCACCTTGGAGCATCACGATCACGACCACCCTGTTGTTCGTCGATTGCCTCGAGCAGGTGCCAGTAACGTCTTCTTCGTCCTAGCCCTGAGATTTTTTTTTTTTTAAAGTGCCATATTCAAGGCTTTTTCAGGGTTAGGAGAATAAACCTTGGAGCATACCAGGACACAAACCATTGTCATTGACTTAACAAAAGCTATGTTGTTCTTCCCTGAAGAGCATGATGGTTTGTACATGACAGAAGACATTTCTTATTAAAATGTTCAGAACTTTCACAAAACAATTCATGGAACATTAATAACTAAAGTATTTGTTTCAGAGAGGCTGAAAATCAGAATTATAGGCAAGCTTCTGGATAAGCTCTATTTGGGAACCAGTGAAAATTCTCAGGGCTGTCACTTTTTTGTCACATGCTTAGCTTTTTATAACCAATGATCTTAATCTGATATAATATGGAGTTCACACTGTATTGCAGAAACAAAGGAATCTATGAGATATAATGTCAGAATTGGATTGGAGTGATAGCACAGCGGGTTGGGCGTTTGCCTTGCATGTGGTTGATCCAGGTTCGATTCCTCTGCCCCTCTCAGAGAGTCCGGCAAGCTACCGAGAGTAGCTCGCCCACACGGCAAAGCCTGGCAAGCTCCCCGTGATGTATTCAATATGTCAAACACAGTAACAACAAAGTCTCACGATGGAGACGTTACTGGGCCCACTCGAGAAAATCGATGAACAACAGGAGGACAGTGACAGTTATTGCTGCACAAAAATATTCAGTGTATATTTATATTTTTTGTAGACTTCTTTTTCTCTCAGCAGTTGGATATTTCAGTGATGCAAATATTATTTTGTACTTCCAGACTTCTTAACTAACCTACACATATTTTTTAGTTTTCATAATTACAGACTGATTTTTAAAATTTGTTTAATGCCTTCTAACTAATGAGCATAAAATATGAATACTGTAAGAGATGCAAAAGGATTATCAAAAGATTTCTGAAATTTGCAAACTGAACAACAGAATTCATTTTCTTGCTGCATAAAATTGCTCATTAAAGACTATAGAAATATTAAAAGGAAATTTTAAAATAACAAAATATATATAAAGGCAGGACACAAAAAATCCAATGATATATACATGATTTAATGGTATTGATGCCATATTAAATTATATTAGGCTTACAAATGAGGATCTCTAGTCTTCCTACTAAACTTCAGTCAAAGAAAAACAGAATAGAGTGTGAATCTCTCATCTTAAAGTAAAAGGGGATCTCTGGAGCAATATTCCAGAAAGGAAAATCAAATTTCAATTTGTGAACACAGAGAACTGTATTTTCCTCACTTTGGACTGTGTCCAAATTTTTCTCAGGCTTTATTTGACCACTGAGTTATAAGTAGTGTCAGCAACTTGTTAAATAATTTGTTGAATTAGTGTTTCTGGTAGTTTAAATGCTACTGAGAAAGCCCTGTCACAGAAGGGATTGTTAAGCTGTTTATGTAAAGCCTGTTCTCTCAGTGGTCAGAGAAGTCTCAGTCAAGAGAACTATTGAAACAGCACATCAATAAAATTAACCTTTCAACACTTCTCTTGAATAGTTTATCCTCAGAAATAACACCTAGTTAGAATGAATAAAATAATTTGAAAATGATGTATTTAGAATCAAGTTCAAGGAGTTCTCACTCTATTACAGTGAACTCTGAATACAGATAAGACTATAAAATTATAAGGAGGATAATTGGACACAAAGACATTAATACTCACAAAAGCATCATGTCAGAATCTAGAGTGAGTCACCTACAAACAATTTCTCTACAATCAGATGATTTAAAAACCTCTAAGCAATTCATTCTTTGTGATATACAATGCTAAGAGGTTTGCAGATGCAGAGAATCACACAAAGAATCACACTGCAGTTTTAATACTATAACACTATAATCATTATTCACATGTGCACCTTGCATTTAGAAATAATTCACTGCAGTCTCTCCTTTATTATAAAAAAGGTAAAGGTAAAGGCCCTCCCGTTGATCATCGATTTGCTCGAGCGGGCCCAGTAACGTCTCCATTGGAGACTTTGTTGTTACTGTGTTTGGCATATCGAATACATCATGGGGAGTTTGCCAGGGTGTGCTGTGCAGGTGAGATACTCTCGGTAGCTTGCCGGGCTTTCCGAGAGGGGCGGAGGAATCGAACTCAGGTTGGCCATGTTGTCTGCGTGCAAGGCAAACGCCCTACCGCTGTGCTATCGCTCCAGCCCTTTATTATAACAAAATTAAATTCTTTCAGACTATAATTTAAATAAACAAAATAATATATCAAATGTCATAGTGAAAAATTATATGTAGATGAAGGAATGTTTCATAAGTGGGATATTTTAAGGTAAATTTGATGAATAGAAATTTTATCCATGAAAATATGCAATAAAGGAAGTAAAAAGTCAAGTCCCAAGCTGATAGGATATAGTGTCATATCAATAACTGAGAAAAGTACTTGCATTTTAAATATATAAGGTACTGGAAATCAACAAGGAAAACAACCAAGTAAAAAAGCATATAATAGATATTAATAAATATTTTATGAGATAGGAAATCAAAATAACTGATTGCCATATAAAATATCTGGTACCTACAGCTAATAGGACAAATTGAGTTAAAACTATAAGAGCATTTTTCATTAGAAACCTGCAAAAAATGATTGCAATTCTGATATTTTCATGATAATTTTCTTAGTGTAGTGATTAGAACATTCACTTCACAAGCTTGACATTTCTAAGTACCAGTAAAGTTAAACTTTAAGGTTTTCTTATGCATTGTGGATGACAAGAAATTTGTCGGTGTTTGTTAACTTTGAAAATATTCTTCTAATTTATTTCATTATTGTGTAAATAAATGCCATAGGGCTTCATGAACAGGTCTGTTTTTTAAGGACTTTTCTTCAATTTCATACTAACAAAAATGTAAGAAATTAAACAATATAAACAGTCTGAGAAGCTAACTAAGCATCATAAGTCTTGCTGATGTACTGATTCCATAGATATCCTAAAAGGTTGGTTCTTCCTGGCTTTCTTCTACTCAATATGGGCACATCTCTTCTGACAGACTCTGACTCCTTTACTTACTGCCTAAATACTACAGTACCAATTGCCACCTGTATCACTGTAAAAAATAAACCTATCTATAGGAGAAAAAATATATTTTGTATCAAAACAAAAAAATATGACTATAAGAACAATGGACTTAAGTAGCATGTAGATAATTTCAAAGTTATTCAACTTATATTAAATATGATCTAGTTAACATAAATATTTTATTTTTGAACAGCATACAAATAGCATATTAATAGAAAATACAAGTTTCAAAGTGGGCACTTTTGAGAAGCAGACAGAGAAGGTTTTAGTGATCTATTTCTTTTGTTCTCCTTTTAATTTTTTTTTTTGAGCCAGGGATTACTCCTGACTCTGAACTCAGAAATTACTCATGTAGGTGTACAGGGAATAGAACCATATGGGTTGTAGGAATAGAACCTGGGTAGGCCACATGCAAGACAAGAGCCTTCCCTGCTATAGTATTGTTCTGACCACAATTTAAAAATGGTGATGGATAATAAAATATTTATTTACATATATTCTTTAAGATAAATGTGCATACATATAGCTATTTCATGTGCTCATGAATTTAAATTGTGTTTAATATAATTACTAACTTGAAAATTATTAAACATATTTAAACATTTTCTGTTGAAATCATGGAGAGCAGAGGCTTTGCCCTTTATTATTTGTAGATCTCATAAAATGTTCATTCTGTTTGCCAATTATGCAAAGACTTATTACTGATAGTCCTCAAGATTTTCCAGAATATTGAAAAAATGAAAATTCTTCCTAACAGCACATAATGTTGGATTCAGATCCAACATTACCCAAATAACAAAAGTAGACAGATATTACTAAAGATAAAACTGCAGGCTGGTATCCTTGATTAACATGGATGCTAAGATCACTTGATCAACTGACGTCCTGTTACTCATCGATTTGCTTGAGCAGGTGCCAGTAACGTCTCTATTCGTCCCTGTCACATGCTAGTGTAGCACAATGGTGTTTGCTTGCTGCAGGAACACAAAGAGACTCAAACCATTTGTTCAGGGACTTGATGAAGAAGTCTGATCATCTCGTAGGTGGGCAGTCACGTGATCTTTTGAGTCCCGTGGAATCCAGTCAGTAATGGCTATAGTTCAGCGGTTGTCTTCAAATTGCATTAGGTGTCCAGCCCATCTGATTTTCAATGCCTTTGAAAACGAGACAGCATCACTGATTCACGATCGTCACAGAGGCTGGAACTTAAGTGAAGCTTGATACTCCAAGCTTAGCTTTTTCGATTCCTCTTTGGGAGACCCTAGTAGCGTTCTTTAGGGCTCAGGTCTCTGAGGCATATGTTAATGCAAGAAGAATGAAGAGATGTGCCCAGAGCCAGAGGTCCTTTGTCCTCTTAGTTATTTCTTGGGTGCTCTTGAAGGCATTCCACACTGCTCTCTTCCTCTTGAGCAGCTCAGGTGCCAGGTCATTCGTCATGTTGACTTCTCGACAGAGATACACATAACTGTTGCATTCAGAGATGTTCATTCCATTGAGAGTAATGGAACATCAGGAACGAGTCCTTTCTCATGAACATTGTCTTTGTGAGATTCAGCTGTAGTCCAACCTTTCCACACATACGGCCAAAGTCATCCAGCATTTGTGCCACTTGGGTAATGTTTGTTGTTATTAGAACAATGTCATCAGGCAAACGGAGGTGGTGTAGTTGTCGACCGTCTATCTTCACTCCCATTTCTTCCCATTCCAGTCATCATGTGATGTTCTTAAGGGTGGCACTGAAGAGTTTTCGTGAAATGGCATCACCCTGCCAAACCCCTCGTCAATGATCACTTCCCTGTAGGATGGTGAGATCCTGGTAGTGAATCTGTAATACAGCTCATGGAGGATCCTAATGTATTGAGTTTGAATGCCCTGTTTGGCTAGGTCTTCGATGGCCGCTTCCATCTCAACAGAATCAAAGGCCTTCTTTAAATCAATGAACATTAGACAGAGCGGCATCTTGAATTCCCGAGAAACCTCAATGAACTTGGTTACCGTGTGGATATGTTCTATTGTCCTGAATCCTTTTCGGAACCTGGCTTGCTCGCATGGTTGTCCTTCATCTAATGTTCTGCCAATTCTATACAGAATGACTCGAATGAACAGCTTGTAAACGAGGGACAACAGGCAGATTGGGTGATAGTTGCCAATGCTGTGGATGTATCCCTTCTTGTACAGTAGAACGGTTCTCCTGTTTTTCCACTGGGATGGAACCTTGCATTCAGACAGGTAGTGTGTGAAGAGCTGTGTCAGTGTATTGGTGAATACTGATGGCAGATTCTTCAGGTGTTCAGGTCTGACCTTTTCTGGGCTGGGTGCTGTATGCTTCTTTACTGAAGATTTCTTCAGAAAATCTTCAGATTTCTGATGGGAGAACGTTGGAAATGACATATCCATCCTGCAGAATTTGGTATGTGGGCAGGTGGATGTGGCTACTGAAGAAATTCGAGTAGAAGTCATGTATAATCTTCTCCAGTGCCTTTCTGAAAGATGGGATAGATCCATCAGGATGTTGGAGAACAGTCATCTTGGTATTGTAGTTGGTGAAGGATAGGTGGGCGTTGCAAATGCTTTTCCTGGCCTCTGTCACATTTGCCAGCACTGCTGCTCTTCTCTCTTTCAGGTCTTCCTTTATCGCTCCTCTGCACTGCTTTGTGAGCTTGGGCATTAGGTTGACTGAGACGAGAAGGTATCCATCACATCATGCCATTTTCAACACTGGAAAAGTTTTCCTCTGAATATGTGATGAAAGAGGCGTCAGTACTGTTGGTGTCCATGTCAACACAAGATTGGCCATGAGTCTTGATTCATTCAAATGCCTAACAATCTGAAGGGACAACTATACTTGAATAGATGTGGCCTATTGCCAGCAGTTTCTAATCTTTGTTGCTTACGCACCAACATCCTACTACGATGAAGAAGAAATTGAGAAGTTCTACGTGGAGCTGGAGAAGTTCTATAAAGATGACCATACTTTTTACAAGATCATTGTCGGTAATTGTAATGCCAAGATAGGACCGAGAAGTTTGGCCGAAGAACTCCACATCAGGAGCCATGGCCTAGAATGGAATGAACAGGGTGAGAGACTGTCTGAGTTAATCTTGTTGACCAAGACCATCCATGATAACTCACAGTTCCAGAAGACCGAATCTAAACGTTGGACATGGGAGTCTCCTGGTGGATAGTTCCACAACGAAATTGACCACATTATATTCAATTGACTGTTTAGCTTGACGGATGTCTCTGTTGTCCCAAAATCCGAACAGGATCGAACTGCTGTCTCCTTCATGCAAAATTCTGCTTCACGGAGTGTGGAGAAAGGACTGCAAAGTTTAAGAAGAAAACTCCCAGAATGACCACCACTGGGAACTCTTTGGCACTAGTGCCACAACATGGGAAGATGCCATCGTTGATGAAGAATACAATCAACTGGTTCAGCACCTCCATGATTGTGCGAGGAACGCTGAGAGAGAAAGCCACAAAAAGACACCTGTCTTCAGAAACTCTCAAGTTCATTCACCAACGTGGCTTGTTGAAAGCCTCAAGCAACCACAAGGATGCTAAGATACTCAACAAAATCGAATGAAAAAAATCCAACAATAGATTAAAAAGGATCATAATCTATGATCAGGATTTATTTCATGAATGCAAGTATGGTTCAACATATGAATATTAATACAATATACCATGTTAAAAACATTAAGATAAAATTATATAATAATATCAATGGAGATCAATAAGGCTTTTGGTGAGATTCAGTATCTAGTTATAATAATAATAATAATAAATCTTTGGGTCAGAGAGATAGTAAAGGCTTTAAGGCACTTGCAGTGCATGCTGATGATCTCTGTTCAATACCCAGAACTACATATGGTCAACTGAGCACTTTTCAGTGTGACTCCCGAGCACAAATGTAGAAGAAATCCATGAGCACTACCAGATGAGTAGTCCCATTTCCCCAAGGAAATCCATGAACATTAAAGGGATCTTATATTATATCTCAATATGTATCTAACGCTAACAATAACCCATGCAACAGATGTGCAAGTAACATCATACTCAGTGAAAAATGAAAACTTTTCTTTTTAGATCAGACAAAAGTCAAGGATATACACTTTCTTCACTATTGAGTATAGTTTAGAAACTCCAGCAACTAAACAATAATAATAAATCAAAATCATAAAAATTGTAAAAGATGTTCAGCTTATTATTTGCAGATGTTTTAATATACATAAAAGATCCCCCGAATATACACCAGATATTAGAGACTAGATTAGGCCTCATGAAAAACATTGAAGAAAACAAAGGCAATACTCTAAAGGTGTTTTTAATAATCCAATTCTATTGACAAAAGCAACAAAAACAAAAATAAACATGGTATCACATAAAATCCGAGTCACTGCACCAAGCCCTTTCCTTGATAGCACAGCGGTAGGGCGTTTGCCTTGCACGCAGCCAACATGGCTGACCCGAGTTCGATTCCTCCGCCCCTCTCGGAGAGCCCGGCAAACTACTGAGAGTATTCGATATGCCAGACACAGTAACAACAAAGTCTCCAATGGAGACGTTACTGGGCCCGCTCGAGTAAATCGATGACCAACGGGAGGGCCTTTACCTTTACCACATAAAATTAGAAACCTTTTGTGGCAAATAAGACTTCCTATCTAATGAGAGAAAAATATTTGAGCAATATGTATCTGACAAAGGACTAATATTCAAGACACATGAAGTACTGACAAAGCTAAGTAACAATAACAACAACCACATAAAAGTTTTGGGAGAGAAGACAAGCAGAAACTTCATCAAAGAATATATAAATATTGTCACTAAATACTAGTTCATTATCCTCAATTCTCTATGATTTCCAATGATTGTCTTGTGGTTATACATCCATTCTCTTTGGGGGTGTCCAAAAGTCCCCCTTCTCTTTCTGCTTGTCAGCATCTGCTCATGGGTATCAGTGAAAGCTTTCCCTTCTTTTTTCCTGTTGACTCCCATGTCTGGTATGAATAAATTCTCTGTTTCTCTCCCTTTCTGGTTAGCCCCTACCTAAACTGCTAATATCTAAACTGCTTATTAATGTGAAGAAGAAAGGAATTGGCCAACTTTTTAAATCAGATTTTTAACTCTACTGAGCCTGGAGCAATGAGTAATACCAAGAAAATAGCTCCCACAAAGCAAGATTGTTATTAGGATAAGCTGGGTCAGAAATATCAAGTAAGCAAAAGTGTTCTGGTATCACAAGACTACAAAGTTGCTGTGAGAGGCTCCCATGAAATACATTCTCTGTCTTGTATGTTACAAATCAAACTGTCACTTCAGGGATGAGGACCAGTGTAATACAGTCAAGGATAATAATGGGAGGCACTGGTGGAAAGATTAGATACTTCTCAGATAGGTATTGTTGAATATCACCGATACTGCTGTGTTCTAGGATCTGTAGAGATGTGATTGTGCATGATGTTCTAAACGCCTATGCCCATTCCCACCCTTGAACTGATAATACTGATAATTGCTTGTACAGATGCCTCTCCTGGATTGCCAGTTCCTTACGGGTCATCGGGAACACCGCCTTGCTCATTTGGTCCTAAGCCTTATTACGATGGGGTATGTCTGGCAGGAAGGAGAGACACAGCCCCAAACGGTAAGGGTCAAGCTAGTAAGACTGCTTTATCAGTTTGACATTATCCTGATTACTGGAAAATGGGTCACTTCTTGTTCTTTCTTTGAGTATTAATTGAAAAAGGACAAAGACTTCCCTTAAATAAAGCACTTATTTTTCCATAGTGTAGAAAATTTTCCTTTAGTCTTTTCTCTTTAATTATTTTTTCTGAACCTTTTTACAACTGTATCTGAAATGTTCCATTTAAATTCAAAGTTTTGATTTTAAAAGATTAGAAATTGTTTATGTTTTATATCTATAATAATCCTTGATTAAATAGTCATCTGGACTATGTAAATTTTTCCAATTCCATTCAACAATATTTTCCCATTTCCCATTATCATGTTTTATTTGATTCAGACATGATTTATAGTTTTTACTGAGAGTCTTTTTTTCTACTTCTTTTTAATTCAGGCCCCAAATCATGAGTAAACACTTGGTGACTTTCTAAATGTAGAAAGCTAATCTGGGAAATTATTTATACTTTATGTGTAGATGTAATTTCTAATTTTATATTTTTATGGATATTTGAGAATGTACTTAAAAGCTTTCTATTCAACTGGTTGTTATTAAAAACATTTGAGTGAATCATTTCTATACATAGCTCAGGGAATGCCAGTTTTCTCCCCAGCTTGTTTCTCAAGTACAGAATTGTGGATGAAAAGATAATCATAATTGCTTTCTTTGCTACACTCTTCCACAATATGCTTATTGTTTGCATCTATATCTGAAAGGTTCTGCCACAGAATCTTGCTCTTCCATTTGTTGAAGTCTCCAGGAACTTGGGCCTCCCTCCTATCCTGGTCCACTCTGACTTGGTGCTATCAAACTGGACTATGAGGAACTCTGAAGGGTAAGCGTGAGAAAGAATGCCTCGGATTCTAACTCATGGAGATTCAATAAAGAGTAGTTTCGCGACTTACTCTATCCAAACAGGAAAGTCGCATGCTGTTCTTATTTTTATATATCTTTTATTAGAGATGTTCACACCTATTGTTTGCTTCATGAGTTCAAAATTAGGGTAAACCTTAATACATAGTAATAATTCAGTTTCTAAAAGCTTCTCCTCAAACTGTTCTGAACACTTGGATGTGTAGACCACATTTTCTGGTTTGAATCAGAATTCAACTACTTACAATCTGAAGTTTGTGTGTGTGTGTGCGTATTTTTTTGAATGAATATTTTCCTGTTCTGAGACTAGATACTCAAAAGTAGAATTGCTGGATTTTAGATAGCTCAACTAAAGTTTACTTTTTTTCCATAGGGGTTGAACCACTTTTTTTCCATAGGGGTTGAACATTCTCACCAGCAGTGAATGGGAGTTCCTTTTCCATCACATCTCTGGCAAAGATGGTTCCCAATATTTTTGATATATACCATTCTCATTGGTGTGATATAGTATATCATTGTCATCTTAATTTGAATTTCCCTAATAATTAGTGATGGTGATGGTGAGCATTTTTAAATGTTCCTATTGGTCATTTGTTGGTATTCCTCAGAGAAGTCACTGTTCATTTCTTTAACCATTTTTGATGGGGTGTTTGGACTTTTTTGTTGCTGAGCTTTGTGACTATTTTATATATCCTAGATATCAACAATTTACCTGATTAAAAAATATTTTCTCCTATTTAGCTTATTTTTAGTCCATCTTCCTTTTGCCATTCAGAGATTCTTTACTTTGATGTAGTACCTTTTGTTGATTTTTATTTTGTTGCCTTTTTCCGAGGCATTTTTATCATTGAAGACATCTTTTGAGGTCCAGATCTTGGAATGTTCTGCCTATTTTCCTTATATTTTATAGGTTATGGTCTAATCCATTTTGAATGTACTTTTGTGTAAGGTGTGAGACATGGATCCAGTTTCAAATTTTTTGTGTTTTTTTCAGTTTTGCCAGTACCAGGAAGTTTCAATTATGGTATTATAGCATAGTCTGGGAACACAATGCCTTCCATCATTTTATTTCTCAAATTTACTTTGGTTATTCTTTTTTAAATAAAATTATCTATTATTTTCAACACCCATCCCTTCACAGTGCATGTTTCCCACCACCAATGCCCCCAGTTTCCTTCCTGCCCCCACCTCCCACCTGTATCTGTGGCCAGTACTTTTCTTCTCAAACTCTCTGTCTCTCACTTTCTCTCTCTTCCCTTCTGTTAAGGTTCAGCCTTGGGAGGTTATAGGAATATAAGAATTTATCTATTTCTTTGAGCTTCTCTTGTTTCATGGCATAAAGATTCTCAAAATAATCTCAAATGATCCTTTGGCTTTCTGCTGTTTCTGTTGTGATGTTTCCTGTTTCATTTCTGATTCAGTTTATTAGGGTCCTCTCTTTTTTTTCCTCTCTCTAAGAAGTCTTGCTAGTGGTTTATCAAGCTTATTTATTTTTTCAGAGAAACAGCTCTTAGTTTCTTTGATTGTCTGGATTGATTTTTGGATTCCAACTTATTAATTTCTGCTCTAAGTTTTATTATTTCCCCTCCCCCCCACGTGTTTTTTCTAAGACTTATGCTGTGAACTCAAATTATTTATGTAGGCCTTTCTTCCTTCCTGATGTATGCTTGCAAAATTATAAGCCTTCCTCTCTAACTCACTGGTTATTCAGTACTGAGCTGTTCAATTGTTCAATTTCCAGGTGTTTTGATTCTTCATTTCTGTATATGATTAACTTCTTTTTTCAGTGCCTCATGATCTTAAGATATAGATGAAACAAATTCTATCCTCTTAATTTTATGAAGGCATGTTTTATGGCCCCCCGTGTGGTTTATCTTGGAGGATTTCCCATGTACACTGGAGAAGAATGTATATTTGGTTTGGGGGGGATGTAAAGCCCCTTACATATCTGCTACCCATCCCCCCTTCTGTTGGAGTACACGGAGCTTAGGTTTATCAGATTGTACCCATCACAGTGCTCCCGAGTCACTCCCATTACTTTGTCTGTCTGTAACCTCTTCTATGCTCTCTTCCCCAACCAATTTGTAAGGTCTCATCCTTCTTAGACACTGAAGCTGTACTGTAAGTTAATATTGTCTTTCTCCTCTCCTTATGTCTTTTGAGCAGTTTACTTTAATGCAATGTCCTTTTGTATAGATACAGGAAGACAATTAATTAATATGCTCCGTAACTTAGGAATTGATTGGCTTTGAATGTTATTCACTCCTGGGCATCTGCCTTCTCAACTTAAGCCTCAGTTGCCCTCACTTCCTAGCACCCCAAGGGCAGGGTCCCGACGTGGGACTGGATGGAACCAGGGCAAGCCGGTAAGTTATGTGCTACCCTGGCATCGCGATGGGCCAGGCCAAGGTGCCACGATTCTTAACTATAAGTTAAGAGGTTGATCATAGGCATTATGTCATGATCCAATAGTAACGATGAGACTAGGGCCCTGCTGCTAGGAATAGGAAAGATATCTGGCCTGAGCACTGCAGTCTGAGATCGAGATGGCCCTAGGAGAGCAATTCTATAAGCTCAAAGTATTTCTTACTGTGTCCATACAAAATGATTAATATTATGTATGCTTATATGTTGGTTGGACAAGGAGAGGAGAAACACATCCTAGAAGCAGTTTCCTGTGTGTCCTGACTAGCTTGGATGAGACTGCTTTTTTGGAGATGTAGATTCCAAGCTCTAGCACACTGGTCTTTGTTGTGCTAATCTAAGTGCTTGTAGTTTGTGAAAAGGTGAGGCCAGGATTACTGGCCTGCAGATGTAAGGAAACAATGTATGTTTGCCGCCTCAATGTTCTTTCTGTAACTCCTTTTGATGACATCATTATATTGCGCCCTTTAGATGTACTATGATCTATATAAGGGAGATTTCAGGGCTCTCTGGGGGGACACGTGCATCAGAGAACCTGGGAAGATGGGGCTGAGGACAGAAGCGGAGAGAACAAAGGCACACGTGCTCGAGGATTCCTGAGGCCTCCATGACATACATCTCTTCCATGTAATAAATGGCTGCTAAGACCAACCAGCTTGGCCTCGTTTCCTTCCTTCGCCTGACCATCGCCATCGACCTCCCTGGAGTGGGGAAACGGCCAGACCGCCGGCCTTTTTATTTTTTGTGTGTTTACACACCCTTCCATTTCATCCTTCAAAGCCAGTATTTCCTTGCTAAGTTTTAGTCTCGTTGATCTATTAAGGGGTGATAAGTCAGTGTTGAAGTCTCCAAATACTATTGTATTGCTACCAATGTCCTCCTTGATGTCTATTAGCAGTTGTTTCAAGTATTTTTCAGGTCCCTGATTGGATGTATATACACTTAGGAGTGTAATTTCTTCCAGATATGCATATTTCTTGACTTTGATCTCTTATGACCTTTTTCAGCCTAAAATATGTGTTGTCAGATACTAGTATGGCCACCCTAGCTTTACTTGAGAGAATTGTTTGCTTGAAGAATTGTTCTCAGCCTTTCACTTTGAGTCTGTTTGTTCTGACTATTCAAATGTGTTTCTTTTTTTTTTTTGGAAAAAAGGTCAGAATTTTTTATTTCCACCTTAATAGTATTTGGTTCATCACAGAACTGAGAACTACCCCTCTGAATAGGACATTTACCATGTAAACAGCTGTGTGTGTTTGTGTGTTCTGTATTCTGTATCAAATGTGTTTCTTATAGGCAGCATTGTTGGATTCAACTTTTTTGAATGATGTTAGATGGCCCTAATGCCTTGTTACTCCTATGGATAGGTATGGTTTTTCAGAGTGAGTAGATACAATTTCCCTTACTATATCCTATTTTGGGAAAGACCAGATCACTGCCCACCAAGCATCCCCAGATCCCACCTAGGTGGGGAGAGGGAAGGTAATAATGAATTAGAAAGAACTACCTCAAGAATACCACAGACACCATGGCAAAACCATACAGAAAATTACCACAAGGAATAAATGAGGGTAGGAGCCCTGAAGTCTCAACAAAGAATGCCTACATACATATTCTTTCTGTTAAATAATTCAGAGACAACATATGAGGATGTTTAATGAACTCTAAGAAATTCAAAAGGACATACAATAAAATTATAGGAGAATATGAAAGAAACAGTGGAATGAACAGTAAGTAAAATACAGAAAGAAATGAGAGCAGAAATAAGAAAAATGCAAACAGAAATGGCATTAATTAAAAATTCAGTAGATGCAATGAAAAACTCAATGGGTCCTGTTATAGGTAGAGTATCAATAGCTGAAGACAGAATTAGTGAGCTTGAGGATGAAATGCAGAAAACCTCCAGGCAACAGCATAATATGGAGAAAGTCCTCAAAATAACTAAAGGCAAAAACTATGGGATGAATTAAACAGGAGCAATATAAGAATCACTGGATTCCCAGAGGGACAGGGGGGCAACCCCAACGAGATGGTGCCAGTTAGACATCATTGCTAAAAATTCCCAGAGCTGGAGAAAGTAAGGAAGCCTGATCCAAGAAGCCCAAAGGGTACCAGCTAAAAGAGAACCTAATAAAAAGACGGTAAGACATATCCTAATCAGAATAACAACCATCAAGATCAAAGAAAGAACCCATATACAAAGGAGTATCACTTAGATTTATAGCATACCTATCAGTGAGAACCTCCAGACCTGAGGACAATGGTGGGATATAGTTAAATAAATTTAAGGAAATGAAGGCTTCACCAAGAATACTCTACCCTGCTAGAATTTCATTAGGATTTGAATGAATAAAACACAAATTCATGGATAAACAACAGCTCAGGAACTTCATACACTCAAAACCAATTTTGAAAGAAAAACTCAAGGGGCGACTGTAAGGCAAGACAAATCCCACAAACACAACAGTCCTCTAAAGAAAGGTGGCACAAAATCCCATGACAATAATTTCTCTCCAAGTCAATGATCTAAACACAGGGTGGCAAATAGATGCAATGGATTAAAAAATCGAATCCAACATACTTTGGTTATTTTTAGAATTTTATGGCTCATACAGATTTAAGAAGCTTTTGTTCCATTAAATCCTTGAGAATCTAATGGACACTTTTATGGAGATTTCACTAAATCTATAAATAACTTTGAGTGAGATGGTCACCTTACTTTTTAAAATTTCTGTTTTTGTACGTTTTTCAACAACATCTGGCAATGCTCAGGAGGTATTCCTGGCTCTGTGTTCAGGAAGTATTCCTGGTGGTGCTCAGGGTACCATATGGGGTTCTGGGGATCAAACCCAAGTCAGCCGCATACAAGGCAAGTGCCTTCCCTGCTTTACTATCATTCTGGCCCAAGATGATCACTGTAACTCTGCATTTTCTTCTCATTTGTATACGGGAATATACTTAAATTTTCTTGAATATTATTTTTCTCTACCAGGAATGATTAATGAAAAATGTATTTCCTTTATTTTTTCTAAATATATTCCTAAATTCTTAAGCACTTTTTGACATGGGATAATTATAAAGATTATTTTTCATCTACTTATATACATATATTTAAGAATGCAATCTATTTTTGTGCTATGATATTAGAGTGGGCTGGAGCTATAGCACAGCGGGTAGGATGTTTGCCTTGCACGCAGTCAACATGGCCAACCCGAGTTCGATTCCTCCGTCCCTCTTGGAGAGCCCGGCAAGCTACTGAGAGTATCTCATCCACACGGCAAAGCCTGGCAAGCTCCCCGTGACGTATTTGATATGCCAAACACAGTAACAACAAAGTCTCATGATGGAGACATTACTGGGCCCGTTTGAGCACATTGATGAACAACGGGAGGACAGTGACAGTAACAGTGATATTATAGTATGCTATTTTATTGTATAGATTTATTATTTCTAGAAATTTTTAGGGTGAATCGTTAGGATTTTTTTTATTGATATTATGTCATCTGTGTACTGTGATAGTTTGAATTCTTGTTTACCAATTTGAGTTCCTATAATTTCTCTTTCCTGCCTGAATCACTGAGACAAGGATTTCCAATGCTGTCTAATATAATAGAATTGTTGAAGTAGCCTTGTGCCTACTAAAAATCTTTGAGAAAGGTTTTTAGTGTTTACTTGTTAAGCAGGCTGGAGTGATAGCACAGTGGCAGAGCATTTGCCTTGCTCGCAGCCAGCCTGGCCGAGCCAGGCAGGTTCGATTCCTCCGCCCCTCTTGGAGAGCCCGGCAAGCTACCGAGAGTAACATATTCAATATGCCAAACACAGTAACAACAAGTCTCAAAAAATGGAGACATTACTGGGCCTGCTCGAACAAATCGATGAACAACGGAAGGACAGACTTGTTAAACATGATTATAGTTGTGAGTTTGTTGTATATGGTGTCCATGTTATTGAAATAAGTTTCTTCAATACTTTTTCTTCCCTTCCTGTAGCTATATTCTATTTATTTCTTCAGTTTGGTGAATAGCCTAACTATTGTTACATTGAATTCTTCACTGGAAGAGAAAGAGCCACTTAAAAAGAATCATTTTTTATTGAAACACCATGAGATGACAACAGTTACAAAGTTGTTAATGATTGGGTTTCAGTCATATAATGTTACAATACCCATCCCTTCACTTTATGGTTGCAAAGAATATATATCAACTGAGATTTTAAAAGTCAAGAATAAGGCTTGGTAAAGGATTAGAAATTGGTAATATAGGTGCTAAAGAGTGAATAAATATAGAATAGCTATAACAAAATTTTGTCTTTCTTATAATGGTATAGACATTAAGAGCACAAGATAATTTCTCATGATGATCACATATTATAAGTGTCTGGGTCACTTTCTAATAGTGGCCTATTGTCTATTCACATCTGTGACACATAAATCACATAAATCTTTGACTTTTTGTGTGTGCACATGTATTTACACATGTGTTGTGCATTCGTAAACTTTAGAGCTATATCTGGTTTACAGTCTGATTTATTCTTTTCTTTACTTTTTTCCTTTTATGGCTATCAATACATGACACTTGACTAGACCTATGGAAATCAGGTATGTTCTCAGAATTTCTTTAATAATTTAGAATTGATGTTGACTTTAAAAACTTATAAAGAAGCAAAAAGTACATATCTGACTTTATATATAGAATGCAAACTATGTAAAAATTCTTGAAAAATTAACAGTCCAGTGCTTTGATGTAAAACTCAGTAGTAAATTTCTCAATGATACTGACCTTGCAATATAGTATAGTATAGTATCCGGGGATGGATAACTGGCCTTAACATAGATAACACAAATAAATATATAAATAAGACAGTCTAAAAGTTAATAGTGTTTTTTTCTGTAGGGAATATATTTCTTTCATTATAATTTCAAATAAATGTATAGTAAAAATACAAGTCTAAGGTAAGAAAATTTAGAGCATACGTTTAAAATTATGTTATCTTTGATTCTTTTAAATTTGATGATCAGAGAGACTCTTACATTTCTGCTGTAACCAAAAGTTATATGCAATCTTGAATTGAAGACTATAGATATTCCAGTGATAAGAGAATTCCTTTGAAATAACATGCTATTGCATTGGTCCCAGAAATAGTAGGCTAATTCCAGCCTAGACACTCTTGGGTTCCTCTTTTCTTTAGAAGTAAAGTTCGTCTCAATATGATGTTGTTCTGTCCAATATCAAGCCCCGTTTCAATAAAGAAGTTCATTATGAAAACTAGATGATGGAAGTGTAGAGACACCATTCCGTGCACTTATCTAACTTTGCTTCAGTTTGAACACATTTTCTCTTGTGTTTGTTTTTTCTAGTGTTCAGTATTTTAGTGGCAGAAATAACTTATGGAATCAAGATCTTCAGTTTTGAAGATTAGATGTACATCTAGGATATTTTAATCCATATCAGACAACTTTCTAAAATAATTAAAATTTTAGAAAATAAATCTTCTGCTTCCCACTCTGTTCTACAACATTTAGTACACACATAAAAAAAAAACAAAATTGAATAATGATCAGTCCCATCCTAATCTTGTTCTTTCACTGTGTGACCTTGGATAAATTATTTTGTTTCATTGGGTCAGTTTTATATCTATAAAAAAAAGGAAAATAGAATTTTCTATTGCTCATGGTCATCATGTCTAAAACAGAAATAGATTGAATAACCACGATGGGTGTGTAAAAAAATCAAGAGTGACTGCCCTGTCATGCTTCAGCTCTTCCATGGGGAAATTGGTAGGGTGGCAGTCTGTCTTCATACTTTTCTAATTATGTGGTCCTCTCCATCTCAAGGAACTTGGATACCATATTTTTATTTCCTGGGGGCAAAAGCCTTCGTGGTTTTATACTGGTGACTGTGCTGGTGGAGAAAGCAGCAGTACCTGGGATTAAGGTATAATTTTACTTATTGTAGTTCTATTTTTCAAAATAACAAATAAAATGAGCTTATTTATAAACACAGTTTACTCTCCCTTAGTGAATTAATCTATATAGATAAAAACAATTCTTGTATTGCTCAGTTTATAAGAAATGAGATTTGAGATTTTTTCACAGAGATATCTCCCTTTCCTCAACTACTTGTTAACATGAAATTGGTTCTTTGTCCATTCAACAAGAAATCATTGTTTTAGGCATTGTACTATTGAGGCAAAGAGAGGACATTGCCCTGTTCCTTCATGAACTCATGATCAATGAAGGAAGATTATAATTAGTCGATCTATAAGCAAGAAAATAAGTCAACATTTTATAAAATTGTGTATAAAAATCTAATTCAGAAGATTTCAGGCAAATTTAGTTGGAGAACACGGCAGCTGAAGATGCAACCTGACTTCTGTATCTGAGTTTGGCGGGCAAAAAGACATACAGATACAACCCTAGGTGAAAAACACTGTTAACCAAAGACTAAGGGGAAATTACTCATAAGAAAATGTTGATAAGGGCTATATTTAAGAGGAATTGCTGGAGATTCTGGCTCTTAGATAGATCTCACAGAAAATCTAATTCATGAATGCTCCTTGTTGAATCCCGACAGTTCCAAAGAGAGGGACCTTTCCCTGAGTACCCAAATTTCTGTGCTTTACTCCACAACTTGGACTTCAAATGAATACTTATTAAGCTAGTAAATTTCTTTCTCAGGCACTTGTTCAGGCAGTGAATTCCATCTTGCAAATGAACCAGGACTCCCTGCTTCAAGCCCTTCAGCAACTAAGACTCTCCATTCAGGACATGACCAGAGCTTTAGGACAAATGCACGGTAGGAGAATTCTAAAGTCGAGGGGCTCATTTAGAGAGGAGGACCTACAGGTTGGGCAACTTCTGCAAGATGAGGTTACCGGTGTGCTAATTTCGTTTTAAGTTAAATGTATGTACTTCACAGTGGAAAATGATTTCTCAATTTGCAGGGATATTGTGATGCCTTTGTCCTTTACGTTATTTTTGTGATTAAGGTAATTTTTTTCTCAATGGTGACTGCATGTTTATTTTAATATTGAGGCAAATGCATAAAGCTTGGGAGGAGGAAATGGGGACACAGGATAATATTATTTGTATTTGCTCTATCCAGAAGTTAGGCTACAGCAGAATAGAATTGTGATAAGATTTGTTTTTAAATTATGTGGTATCCCTTTCATTCTGAAATAACTAACCTTGTCTTTATACCTAAAAGAGTCCTTTTCCATTGTATAGTTCAGGATAAAATATAATGGGTGTTACCAGTTATTAATTACATTCAATTTTGGTGTAGCCAGTTATTAATTACATTCAATTCCAAATGAAATCGGGCCATCATCTCTTTAGTGCAAACTTCTACTTCACGGAGTGGGGAGAAAGGGCTGCAAAGTTTAAGAAGAGAACTCCCAGAACAAACACTAACTGGGACCTCTTTGACACTATTGCGGCAACATGGGAAGAAGCTGTTGACAACATTGACAAGGAATATGATAGACTGATTCAGCACATCCATGATTGTGCGAAGAACGCGAAGAAAGAGATAGCCACAAAAAGACTCCTGTCTTTGAAAACTCTTGAGCTTATTCACCAACGTGACTTGGCACAAACCTCAGGCAACGGCAAAAGAACATCTAAGGTCACAAAACAGTGCAGAAAAGCGATAAAGGAAGACCTCAAAGAGAAAAGAGCAGCAGTGCAGGCAGACGTGGCAGAAGCCAAGAAAAGCATTTGCAATGCCTGCCTGTCCTTTGCCAACTACAAGATCAAGATGACTGCCCTCCAATGTCCTGATGGATCTATCATATCTTCCAGAAAGGCAATGGAGAAGATTATTCGGATCTCTTTGATAGCCACGTCCACTTGCACACACACCAAATTCTGCAGGATGGTTATGTCATTCCCAACGTTTTCTCTTCCAAAATCTGACATGCCATTTCATCGGTTAAGAAGCGAACAGCACCTGGCCCAGACAAGGCCAGAACAGAACACCTGAAGAACCTGCCATCAGTACTCATCCATACACTGGCTCGGCTCTTCACACGCTACCTGTCTGAATGCAAGGTTCCATCCCAATGGAAAATCAGCAGGACTGTTTCACTGTACAAGAAGGGAGACATCCATAACATTGACAACCACCGCCTGATCTGCCTATTGTCTATTATCTACAAGCTATTCACTCAAGTCATCCTGAATAGAATTGGCAGAACACAAGATGATTAACAACCATGCCAGGAAGCTGGGTTCTGCAAAGAATTCATCACGGTCTACCATATACACAGGATAACAGAGCTTATTGAGGTTTCTCAGGAGTTCAATATGCTGCTCTGTCTAACGTTCATTGATATAAAGAAGGCCTCTGATTCTGTTGAGATGGAAGTGGTCATTGAAACCCTAGCCAAACAGGACATTCAAACTCAATACATCAGGATTCTCCGTGAGCTGTATTACGGGTTCACTACCAGGATCTCACCATTCTACAGGGAAGTTATCATTGATGTCAACAGAGGGGTTAAGCAGGGTGATGCCATTTCACAAAAACTCTTCAGTGCCACCCTCGAGAACATCATGTGACGACTGGAATGGGAAGGAATGGGAGTGAAGACAGTCGGCAACTACACTACCTCCGCTTCGCTGATGAATGCTATCCGACTTGGGCTGTGAGTGTAGAAAGGTCAGACTACAGCTGAATCTCACGAAAACAATGTTTATGAGGAACAGTTTGGTTCCTGACGTTCATTTGCTCTCAACAGAATGAACATCTCCGAATGCAACAGTTATGTGTACATTGGTTGAGAAGTCAACATGAAGAATGACCTGGCACCCGAGTTGTGCAGGAGGAAGAGAGCGGCTTGGAACACCTTCAAGAGCATCGAAGAAATGGCTAAGAGGATGAAAAATCTCCAGCTATGGGCACATTTCGTTTCCACCATTCTTCCTGCATTAATATACACCCCAGAGACCTGGGCCCTACAAAAAAACAGGATGAGAACGTTATTCGGGTCTCCCAAAGAGGAATCAAAAGAGCTATGCTTGAAGTAGCCTGCTTCACTCAAATGAAAGAATCGGAGTTCTGACCTCTGTTGATGATCAATAATCAAGGACGCAGTCTTATTTGCCAAGGTGTTGAAAATCAGTAATGAGATTTGGAGACGACTGCTGGACTAGAGCCATTACCAACTGGATTTCACGGGAGTCAAAAGATTGCGTGGCCGCCCACCTACGACATGGTCAGATGTCTTCATCAAGACCCGGAACGATCGGTTGAGGCTCTTTGTGTTCTTAGAACGAGCAGATGCCATTGGGCTACACTAGCATGCAACAGGGATGAATGGAGACGTTACTGGTAACCGCTTGAGCAAATTGATGAGTATTGAGATGTAAAGTGATCAACTGATCAATTTTGGTGATTACTTTCCAGCTACAATGTCTGGAAAGCTCTTCAATCTCTTCCAATAGTATATAAAACATGTATGCAGTGTATCATTAAAAAAATGATGTGAGAGAAAGGTGAAACATTTTAAACAAATAAGTATACACATGCATCAATTTGAATAGTACTTTTCTGAAGGAAAGAGGGATTTTGGGGGAAAACTGTTTATAGGCTCAAGATAGGAGAGATGGTGAATGTAACAGGTGGTGTCCAGCTGTATTGTATTTTATTAAAAGAGCAAACTTAGGGTGATAGTACAGAGAGTCTAGGAAAACTTAAGAATGGATGGGGACTTGTGTCATCTTATTGTTACATGAATATGTAACTTGAATATATACTTGCTTATGGTCCCCAAAACGCTGCCAGGAGTGATCTCTGAACACAGAGTAAGCTGTATTTACTGCTGTCATTGTAAAGCAAATTAACCCACATATAAGGGAATAAAAAGTAAATTTCTTTGTCAACCCAGATTCTGCACTGGTACATCTAAAGTCACATAGTCATATGGTAGGTATTTACTTTTTAATTTTTCACTTCTTTATTTTTGACTTATATTTTCACTTTCTACATTTCCCCTGATTGTTTTTAAATATCTGCCAAACAAGTGAGATGGTATTAATGGTTTTAAATTTAGCCTTTCTGAAACATTCTGGTTTTATTATTCATGGCATTAATTTCATTAAAGATGCATTTGCCATGTCTTTGGAACATTCAAATAAGCTCAGGCATGTGGTTTGACTGGTTATGAGAAGTTTTCATTTTCCCTCTATTCATGTAACAATAAGATGAGACAAGTCCCCAGCCATTCTTAAGTTTTCCTACACTCACTAATCTACCTTCAGCTTAAAATATTATGAAAATTCAGAGGTATAGTTTAAACCTGCATATGTGTGCAGGATTTATCACACCTGTGATCAAACTGCCACTGCTGCCCAAGCACCAGAGTCTGTCTATACATTCCACCTTCCACTACCCCCCTAGCAACCACCATTGTTATCACCAAGAACAATTATTTTTCTTTTTCAGAAGTTTGTTATCTTTATTAATATTCGACATATTACATCACCCATGGTTGTCTTTCATTACTTCTTTACTTTGGCAAAAGCACAAATTATATACATTTTATTCCAAAAACCTCACCTACCCTGTGACCATGTAACTTGAGACATACTGGTGCAGAATCTGGATTGACTGAGAAATTTACACTTTTATCTTCCATTTTTATATGTGGGTTAATGTGTTTGACAATACCAGCAGTACTTAGGGCTCATTCTGTGCTCAGGGGTCAGTCCTGGCAGTGTTTGAGGGACCATTTGCAAGGCACTCATGTTGGTTTTGCAACAAACAACATAATATTCTATTAAGTATATAAATTACAACTACTTTAACAAGTCAGTTAGTTATAGAATTTGTGGTTGATTCCATGTGTTTTGGTTCTTATGAATATACTGTATGGGTGCAATTATCTTTCAGAATTAATGGTTTTATATACATAAAAAATACCTGGAGTGGGGTTGATTGATAATGTTATTTCCTTTTTAATTTTTAAACTCTCTGCACCATTTTCCATGGATACTGAATTAATTTTCATCCTCACAAACAGTACAAGAGTTCCTTTTTCAACATATGCATCAACATTTATTGCACCAAAATTTTATATATTATTCCCTCGGGTCTGGAGCAATAGCATAGTGGTAGGGCATTTGCCTTGCAAGCTGCCAGCCCGGCCAAGCCAGGTTCAATTCCTCTGCCCCTCTCAGAGAGCCCGGCAAGCTACCAAGAGTATTTCTTCCCCAAAGCAAAGCCTGGTAAGCTACCTGTGATTATTCGATATGCCAAACACAGTAACAAGAAGTCTCACAATGGAGATGTTACTGGGCCCGCTTGAGCAAATCGATGAACAATGGGAGGACATTGCTATTCCCACGGGTGTGATGATATATTTTATTATTATATTAATGTGCAGTCTTTATAATAATAAACCAAAATCAACATTTTTGTCATTTATCTGTGAGAAATTTATATGTTTGATTTCACAGATAGTTTATGGCAACTATGGAAAATACTCATTATTTGGAAGATTTAATAAAGGTGTGTTTTAAGTTTTTGACGTGAATAGAGAATATGAAGATGGTTGTTCAACTAGATCAACTAGCCTTAAGACAGGTCATATTTAAGGTTACAATGGAATCTCCATTGCAAATGACTTTGAAGGGTAATTACATGCAGAAATACAGTTTGGTGGTCATTGAACGTCACCCTGATCTGAGGGGTGATATAAATTATCTGCAAAGAAAATAGAGAAAGACAAAGAAAAATTAATTAGACATGTTTATATACTGAAAATATATAGAAATAATATAGATTTGCCATTATTTTTGTCTTATAAAAAAGAAGATTATTTTCCTTTCAGAAATAATAAGACACATATAAGCAAGAAACAATAAGACATAGAAAGTAATCTGGATAAGAGAATACTCTAAGTCATAAAATTCACAGGGGACCATTATGTGAAGAAGACAAAATCCCATTCAAAATTTCATGAAAATAAATGTGTACAAATGTGAGGGAAGTCATTCTTATGTACAAGTTAATAAACTAGTAGAATCAATTATCCACCAAGGTTGATTTAGAAGCAAAAAATAAACAGTCAAAATATTTATTAGTAAATAAAGCTAAACATGGAGGTAAATGAATCTTTATTTGACCTGTGGTAGCAATTCCTAGGCAAGAGACAATCGAAAATTAATGACATGAATTTTCTTCATGAAAACTCCGAGAGAAGTGATTCTCTGATTTTCTGCTTTCCACATCAGACATTCTCTAGAATATAATGCCTGGTTAAAACAGTAATTTTTACAAGATATCTTTGATATATATTCTTCTTGTTTCTATTAAGTATAGGAAAGCAGAGTACCTCAAACAGAAAAGGAAAACATCTGGAGCTTTAGAAAGCTCTGTAATTCCCAGTGAGGGAGACTGCAGAGGAAAAGCATCAGCAATGCTCCTGCATCCCAGGTGCCTGTGAAGGTCAGATAGAAGTGATGAGCCTAGAAGAGCAGCAGAACCCATTCATATGGAAACTTCCGTTTTGCTTCGAGTAAAGTTCACATTTCTATTTCCTCTAGATTATGTAGATTCAGACATCTTTTATGCAGTCATTCGGATCTTTCTCTCTGGGTAAGTATAATTCAACCATCTTCCTGCATAAAGCCTGCATATTTTCCAAATGTGTGCATGCATGGGGCTAAAAACAGAGGGACGATTCCCACAGCAATATATATGTATATATATACTTCTATAAGAATATATATGTATTATATATACATACTTCCTAGAGTAGGATTATTATATACATATGTTTACTCACATATAAACTTCTAGCAACATAATTACCAAGGTCTAGTCTTAAAGGAAGAAGAGGGATACCACCTTCATAATAAATGACATTTAACATTTAATATTTATATTTCAAAAATTTATTTCTACAATATAATATTAAGTCGATTTGTGATAACCTGTCTTATCATTTTACTTTGATGACAAGGAAAACACATTTCTCTCTAAATAAGTATAATTCAACCACCTTCTTGCATAAGGGCACTTATTTTCCAAATATGTGCATGTATGCATGTATGAGGCTAAGAACAGAGAGAAAACACATAAAAGTTCCTCATGTCTAGTTCACAATCTTTTCAAAATAGGGTGGGGGTTAAATGATTTCTTTTAATGTAAAATAATTCCTGATTACTTATAGGATCTTTAGTTTTTTCAGATAGAAATACAATCAGATTTTAGATCAGTTCCTGTCACTTCTTTTAAGTACATTTGCTAAAACTTGACCTGTTTTAATCATGTTGGTATCATATTTATAAAATATAGATTGTTTGATGAAAAGTGAAAGATGGAGCTAAAGAGTGATAATATATTGGGTGTAAGTTCTGAGCATCACCATGGATGGACAAAAAAATTAATCATTGTGAATCTGTTCTATGCTGATAGCACAGTGGTAGGGCGTTTGCCTTACACGTAGCCAACATGGCCGACTCGAGTTTGATTCCTCCGCCCCTCTCGGAGAGCCTGGCAAGCTACCGAGAGTATCTCGCCCGCACGGCAGAGCCTGGCAAGCTACCCGTGACATACTCGATATGCCAAACACAGTAACAACAAGTCTCACGATTCAGACGTTACTGGGCCCACTCGAGCAAATTGATGAACAATGGGAGGACCGTGGCACCATGGTGGTAAATCTATGCTGTAATAAAATTAGACAGGGAAAATAAGTGTCTTTTAAAAATATTTAATTAGGTTAGGATTTTGTAAACAACTAATCCTGTTTGGTTTTGTTTTAGTTTTGGGTCACAACTAGAGGTATCAGAGTCTTACTCCTGCCTCTGTGACTGGGGGTTCTTGGCTTACTTATTGTCAACCCAGTGGTGCTTTGTGGTATTAGGAATGGAACCAGGGTCAGCAGTTGCAAGGCTGTACTCTCTCTGGGGACCATACTTTTAAATAATCCTAGAACACCTTTACACATATCTTTGTCTCTGTTTATTTTAGTCTTTTAATGTTGTATAGCAATTTAAAATAAGACACATTTATTATTTCATGTTTCTGTTAGTTATAAGTGCAAGAAAGCTCTACTTGGCTCTCTGCTTAGGTCTCAAAGGGCATTTACTAGACTAGGCTCTTACTGGGGAATATAGGGAGGGATTCACCTCCAGACTCTACATATCTGTTAGAATCAGATATTTATGATTTAGGGCTAAAGTGTATTTCTTTGCTAGTTGTCAAGCAGGATCTACTCAGTGTCTCAGGCCATCTGTTTTTTTGTCATTTGGTCCTACTTCAACTCAGCAGTGCATTTCCAGCTCCTCTAGTGCTCTGAGCTCATCTTCTACTTGTCATAGAAAATTCTCTGCTTCAAATATCTTAAATTAAACTCCTGCAATTTAGGATATCTTACTATTTAAAGTCAGCTACTAGTGATCTTTTCCTTTTTTTTTTGAATCAAAACACCATGAAATATATGGTTACAAATTTGTTCATGTTTGGGTTTCGGTTATATAAGATTCCAACACCCATCCCTTTCACCAGTGAACATATCCCAGCACCAGTGTCCCCAGTTTCCTTCCTGCCCACCTCCTTTCACCTGCCCACAGCCTATCTCTATAGCAAACACTATGGTTTACAATACTGTCACTGACAGGGTATTATGAATATCGAAGAAAGAATCCACATAAATTATCTCACTTCACGGTTCAAGATCTTGGAAAATGACCAACAAAAGGAAATCAAACCAGGCAGGATTAAGGAAATAATAAAACTTAGCAGAAATTTTTAATGAGCTGGAGTAAAGAAAAACCCAAGGATCAACAAAACCAAGAGCTGGATTTTTGAAAAAATAAACAAGACCAATAAACCACTAGTAGGACTCACAATGAAAGAGACCGAATCCTAATAAACTGAATTAGAAATGAAAGGGGGAACATCACGACAGAAACCACAGAAATTCAAAGGACCATTAGATTACTTTGAGGCTCTTCATGACATAAAACAAAAGAAACTAGAAGAAACAAGACATTTACTACATTCCTATAACTTTACACTGCTGAACCAACATCATTTTGAATACCTGAGCAGACCCGTCACTATCAAGGAAATTGAAGTGGTAATCAAAAGTCTTCCCCAAAGCAAAAGCCCAGATCCAGATGGATTCGCCCTTCAAGAGGCACTGATACCAATATATTTGAAACTTCTTTGGAATATTGAAAAAAGAAAAACAATATCAAACATATTGCACTGTCTGTGCACTGTCCTCCCGTTGTTCATTGATATTTGCTCGAACAGGCCCAGTAATGTCTCCACCGTGGACTTGTTGTTACTGTGTTTGGCATATTGAATATGTCATGGGTAGCTTGACAGGCTTTGCCGTGCAGGCAAGATACTCTTGGTAGCTTGCCGGGCTCTCCGAGAGGAGTGGAGGAATTGAACTCGGGTCAGCCATGTTGGCCATGTGCAAGGCAAATGCCCTACCCTCTGTGCTATTGCTCCAGCCCGTCAAACATATTACTGAGAAGCAACTATCACCCTGATATCAAAAGCAGAGATGAGACAGACAGAGAGAGAGAGAGAGAGAGAGAGACAGACAGACAGACAGACAGACATAGAGGGAGACAGAGAGACAGAGAGAAAGACAGAATTGCAGGTCAATATCCTTGATGAACTGAACAAAGACAAAAAGATCTTCAACAGAATTCTAGCAAATAGAACCCAATATTCATCAAAAAGATCATACACTATGAACAAATAGGATTCATCCCAGAGATGCAAGGAGAGTTTAAAAATTTTATAACAAATCAACATAATATACCATATAAATAAAAGAAAAGATAAAAATATGTGATCATATCAATCTATATAGGGAAAGCATTTGACAAGATCTGGCACCTCAACAAAATCAAAATTGAAGGAACTTTCCTCAATATCGTCAAAATCATTGACCACAACTCATAGCAAGCACTATTCTCAATGGGGAAATACTAAAAGTCTTTCCTTTAAGATCAGTCACAAGACAAGGTTTCCCACTCTCATCACTACTATTCAATATAGTACTGAAGTACTTGCCATAAAAATTAGGTAAGAAAAAGATATTTAGGGCATCCATAGGGAAAGAAGAAGTGAAGTTTTTCCTATTGCAGATGAAGTAATACTATATTTAGAAAATCCTAAAGACTCTACCAAAAAAAGCTCCGAGAAACATGTATTTGTATTTTAAAGTGGCAGGTTCCAAAATCAATATGCAAAAGTCCATGGCTTTTCTTTAAACAAATCACTATCACTGTCCTCCCATTGTTCATCAATTTGCTAGAGTGGGCCCAGTAACATTGTGAGACTTGTTACTGTTTGGCATATCGAATACGTCACAGGTAGCTTGCCAGGCTTTGCCATGCAGGCGAGATACACTCAGTAGCTTGCTGGGCTCTCCTAGAGGGGCGAAAGAATCAAACTTGGGTCAGCCATATTGACTGCGTGCAAGGCAAATGCCTACCTGCTGTGCTATTGCTCCAGCCCTTTATACAAATAACGAAAAAGAAATTAAAAAGACAATTTCTTTCACAATTCTGCATCAAAAATCAAGAACCTTGGAATCAGCCTAGCTAAAGAGGTGAAGGACCTACACAAAGAAAAGTACAAAATACTACTTCAAGAAATAAAAGAAGGCAAAAGGAAATGGAGGCACAACCCCTGCTCATGAATTAGGAAAATGGAATTTTATACTGTTTTATACTGTTTTAATGGAATTTTCTTAAGTTTACTTTCATATTGTTTATAACACGTGTATAGAAACACAACTGATTTTTTATGTTGATCTTTGCTGAATTTATTATCTAAATAGATTCTTTGCCAATTCCTCCGAAATAAATAAATAAACAGAGGTATTCCTACTAAGTGTATTAGAACTGATAGTTTATTGTGACAAGTTTTCAAATTGCATGTTTTATCATGTCTGATCCTCAGGCACACCGACTATGATATCTATACCCTGGCCCTATAAGTTACCATTAAAATGTTTGCTTTCTTGTTCAGACTCTAGTTTTCTATTAGCAAATATACTCAACTCCTAGCACTCTTTTCCTCTCTCTGCTTTTTTGCTTAGATGGAAAGACAACCCAGCCCTGCCTGTAGGCTTGGTGTATGAAGGAGTTTCTGAAGAGCCTCTGGAGTACTCTGGAGGCAGTGCCGCACAGAGCACAGTACTGCATGCGTTTGACGAATTCTTAGGTGTTCATCACAGCAAAGAAAGTGGTAAGTCAAATATTTAAACATTTTTCTTTTTTTTCCTTGGCATTGTTAAAAAACAAAGTTACATTTTAACAATGATAAAGGAAGTTTAAATTAAAATGTGACAAAGTTTTTACTTCTTTGGATAGAAATCAAACTATGGGAGCTCCATATGTTGTTGCACCACTTAACAGCAATATAAGACCTCAGCGGGAAACTGAGCTTCATTTCTCAATCTTAAAACATTGCTGTATTTCCAGCTGTTTTTTATAATTTGGTTTAAGTTGTTAGGTAGTATGACATTTCACTTTCACTGAAACAAGGGAAATATGTGTTGTCAGTAAGTCTGCATATGACTGTTCACAGATCTGAGCACGTCCACTAGTGCTCTTCTCCTTTAAAAAATCTGCTACCACTGAAACTTTGTATTGTGCCTGTCAAATTGACGAGCAGAGATGAGGCAGAAAGAAGTTGATATTGATGGTGGGATTGCTATTGAAATATTATATGCCCCCAAATCACCTATCAATAACTGTACATCAGTTCTGTTTTTTTTTTTTTTGCTTTTTTGGGTCACACCCAGCACTGCACAGGGGTTACTCCTGGCTCTGCACTCTGGAGTTACTCCTGGCGGTGCTCAGGGGACCATATGGGATGCTGGGAATCGAACCCGGGTCAGCCGCTTGCAAGGCAAACGCCCTACCCGCTGTGCTATCTCTCCAGCCCAGCACATCAGTTCTTTAATTAAAAATATACATAATCTAGTCAGGTCTGTTTAAATTGAGTTTGTAATTTTTAAATCTATGATTTTAAAGGTTTAAATTCCTCATTTTCTTGCCTGTGAACATGGTGCAGCACATTTGGTATTGGGGAGATTGCTCGGCAGGCAGGAGTGTGAGCTTGGGACACAATGAGGTCCCACATCTCAACCCTAGTACCACCAGGTTTGCGCCGTAGATTTCAGAACCACTGTGCCTGAGCAGCACAGGGCCAAGTAACTCTGGGGTTGGCTCTCAAATTCCCTGTGCACCACTTGAGAGCACACTCCGCTCCCCAACAAAGAAACCCTCTTTGAAATCTAGTTTGATAAAATTTGATTAGAAAAAAAATGAAGAGCTTGGGGTCATAGGGTCAATTCTTATCAACAAATGTTAGTTTCCTAAAACTGGGATAATTTTTAATAGTTTTTTTTATTTTCTTATGTTAGACTTATCTCTATGAGATTAAACACATGGATTTCTCTAAATTATTTGCTTCCTATACATATCTACCTATTTGGTTTTATAGACAACTTCATTTCAGGGGACTATTATTAAAATACTCTATCATGTTCCATCTTTTTGTTTTTATAAGATTGACATTTTTTCCCTTAATGCTCTGTTAAACACATTAGTCTTTAGAAGACATAATTTGTAGGCTGACTACATAGTACAAGGGTGAGGGTGCATGCTTTGATGCATTTAATCCTGCTCTATGACTGATACCACATAGGTTCCCCAGCATTGCCAAGTGTAGCCCCGAAAACTCAGCATCACCAGGTGTGGCTATAGTAATTTATGGCACCAAAGGACCCAAGCAGCAAAATGTCCTTAGGCTGTAGCACAGAACCACTACCCTAGTTGACTGAGTATCACTAAGAATGATTCCACTGATCCCATGTTCCATATGGGAGCTATCCCTTCCCATTTCCACAAAAACAAACAAAAAAAAAACACAATTCATCACTGTTAATCAGTTTCTTTATTAATGGAAATATTTGTGGATATATCTTAGGGTGAATAGAAAGATGCTATGCCATATTTGTGTGTGCTATTTATGCATACACTCGTTTTATATAAATTATTTAAGATATGCTTGATGATTTTCCCTTCATCTATCAGCCAACAAAATGTGTACTTGAATATTTGGCATCTATAAGAAAAAAAATCATAGAGTAAATTATAAAGTTTAAGATGAAAAAATATTGGGGTTACATTGATATAAGGGAAAAAAAGGCAGCTTACCTTATATTTCCATGTACAGCTATGATATTACTCTGAATTGTGTTTTTTTCCAGCGGAGTTTCTCCACAGAATGAGGGATTACATGCCTCCTTCTCATAGGGCCTTCATAGAAGAAATCAAATTGGCTCCATCACTAAGGGACCATATTCTGGCCTCTGGAAATGACGAACTTCTGATAGCCTACAACAATTGTGTGGAGGCCCTGGCAGAACTGCGTAGTTATCACATCACCGTGGTATCCAAATACATCATCATAGCTTCAGCCAAAGCAAAAAGCAGAAAATCAAGTCATTCCCCAGGGTCTCAGGCCTCAGAAGAAAGGGGCACTGGTGGGACTGCAGTTCTGAGTTTCCTGAAGAGTGTCAGAGATAAGACCCTAGAGGCAACTGTCCACCAAAGTGAGTAAGCAAACACTGTCTCCCATGCTGAGAAAATCCTGCAATACAGTTTTCTCTATTCTGTCTGGAATAATGCAAAAGGAACCTTACTACCCCATCCAACACCATCTTCTACTTTCTTGAGAGCTATTAGTCTTAACAGAGGAAGATTTTCATGGTGAGGAAATTTCCTTGGATTGTCCAATCACTGGTTAGTAGAAATTTGCAAAGCAGTAGAAAAAAATCATCTAATTTTTGTTCAATGAACTATTTATTGTATAGATTGCCTTGTTTATTATCTTAAAAAATAAATTAAAATATATATACACTTTATTCGTTCACTTAACAGTTTGTTAAATTCCCACTGAGAACTGGCATGCAGATTAACAGAGATTTCTGAGGAACCAGAAATCCTCCTTCTCCAGGTATGTGTTGAGTTGTTGGCAGGAGGTTGGAATATTCAACAGAGATGGAAAGGAAAGATAAGGCAGACAATATGGTACTTTCACTAGTATGAAAACAGCTAATGTATAGTTAATGTGCTGGGAATAGAGTGAATTTTTTCACAGAGTTGATAGATTTAAAAATTCTATTATAGTTTATTTTTAGAAAAATAAATATTTCTCCTTAAACTGAAAGTCTATTATCAAAATGGTAAATCCATATGTTCAATCACTGTCACTGTCACTATCATCCCATTAATCATCGATTACTCAAGCTTCAGTAGCATCTTCAACTGTCCCAGCCCTGAGATTTTAGCATCGTAAACTTTATGCTCTCTCTCCATGGATGTGGCATGCCAGCTGAATGTCCTTGTGCATAATGGTGGCAGGGAATGTGCAGAGGTTGGTGTCCTCGAAGAGCCCCACCAGGTAGGCCCCACACGCCTCCTGAAGGCCATGATGGTCAAGTTCTGGGAGCGCAGGTCAGTCTTGAAGTCCTGCTTGATTTTGCACACCAGTCACTGGAACGGCAGCTGGCGGATCTCGCATAGAGCCATGGTGTCAGGCTGGTAGTGATGCAGCTTCTTTATGCCTCCCATGGCTGGCGCACTCTTGTGGGCCACCTTGGCGGCCATCTGCTTGCAGGGTGCCTTCCCGTCCATTAACTTGTGTGCCATCTGCTTAGTACGAGCCCTCTCATTCTTCCCAACTCAGGTGGAGACTCCATCAGGGTTAGAGAAATGAGACCCATTTTAGCTACTGTTGTTGGCATATTTGGTATGTCACGGGTGGCTTGCCAGGTTCTGCCATGCAGTCTGGATACCCCTGGTAGCTTTCCAGGCTCTCCAGAAGGAAGATAGAGGCTTTTGGGGCAATCTCCAATTGTCCCCTGTAGGTGTTCCCAGTCTACCACATGTAAGCTCCTGGTGACAGTCTGTTGTAACAATTTGTACACTGACAACACACACCTGCCTGCATCTCCAGGCAGCACTTGGGGCATCTGTGGCCTCAGGTTGATCTCCTTGAGGTGGATGGAGTGTACTCGGAGGCAGTCGAACACCTGACAGAGCAAGATCCCATCGCATAGGGTCTGTACCAGGCCAAACACCTGCACCGAGTCCCAAGTCACTCGGTGGCTGGTGGAAAGTGCCCCACAGTGGACAAGTCACCACGTGGGCCACTGCTGCTGCTCCCTGCTCAATGGTGCTGTGACATGGCCCATCTTGGGGAGGCAGTGACTCTCGACTGATGCTGCAATCTTTCCTCACCCCACCAACTCCACTCTGTTCCAATCCCGCAAAGCAGCCAGTGTTGTCCAGCAGGAACCATGTGCAGAGCTCCATCAGGGATCACACACAGAACTCCATGCCTGGTGTGCTGAGCTGCACATCACCCAGAGTGAGATGGTGAGCAGGGTTCAGGAGAGTGAGAGGGGTTCAACTGGTGTCAGCACCATCTTGCCTCCTATGACCATATGTTCAATGGTCAAATAAGTGTTGCCTTTTACAGAATTAGTTTGTATCTCAATGCCTTATCTTGATAAATTACATATAAATAATATATATGATAATATATACATATGTATATTCCTGGTGTCAACCTAAAGAGGAATATCTGGTAACTGAAGCATAAGTTTTGACCAATTAAGAATGTTCCATCCCAATTCATAATATCTCATCTGCTCTAAAAGGCCTTTCAAATTGCTTGAAGATTATATTGTATCACTTTAAAAGCATGACTCTTCCTCCATCAGTGCCAACCCTGCTTCCTCCATCAGATGTGTGGATCCCTAGCGTAGCCTTTCCATCTACCTATCTGGCATACCCTTTAAACCCCTAACCACAAAACCATGCAGACGCAATGGCGTCCGTGTTAAGAACTTATTTTCTCTGCACCCCACATCTGAGGTACTATTTAACCCAGGTCTCACACATACCTATCAATAACCCATAGCAATGCACAAAGATAGCCCAATTGCAGGGACCAAAACACACAACAGCAGGAGAAAAGAAACTCCAAAATGCAAAAGTCACTATGGTAAAACAATGAAAAAACTCACCAAGCCTAATGATTGAAGTTGCTAGTCCAGAAGAAACTAACAGTAACAATGAACTCTATAACCTCTCAGATAAGGAATTTAAAACAGAACTTTTAAGGACTTATAAGGAACTCAAAGAAGAAATGAAACACACTGTTGATAAAACAAGAGGATATGAAAGCGGAGGTGAGGAAAATGCAAACAAAAATGCAAGCAGAAATGACAGACCTAAAAATCTTGGTAGGTAAAATGAACTCAGTGGAAGACCTCAGCAACAGAGTAACAGCTGCTGAGGACAGAATTCGTGAACTCCAAGATGAGGTTCAGAGCATCTCCAAACAACAGCAGCAAATGGAAAGAGCCTGAAAATAAACAAACAGATGTCAAGAGAAAATCAGGTTGAAGCCAAGAGAAATAACACAAGAATCATTGGAGTCCCAGAGGGACAGGAAGAAAACCCTGGTGAAGAAGAAACTGTCAAAGACATCATTGCTAAGACATTCCCAGAACTGAAGAGTACATGTGACCAGATTCAGGAATCCTGGAGGGTGCCAGCTAAAAGAAATCCAAATTAAAATACTCCAACACACATCCCGATCAGAATGACAAAAATCATAGACAGAGATAGAATTCTGAAAACAGCAAGATCAAAGAAAGAAATTGCGTATAAAGGAGCATCCTTAAGATTCACAGCAGACCTATCCGATAAAACCCTAAGGGCCTGAAGACAGTGAAGGGATAGAGTGAACAAACTCAATGAAATAAATGCCTCACCTAGAATACTTTACCCAGCTAGACTCTCATTCATATCAGAAGGAACAACACACAGCTTCACAGGCAAACAACAACTCAGAAACTTCATAGCCTCAAAACCATGGTTGTCATAGAAATTAAATGGCTACTTTAAGACAAGACAAGGCCCCCCCAAGTACACCAACTTTGACAGAAAGATGGTACAAAACCCCATAACAATAAACTCTCTCAACGTCAATGGGCTAAATGCACTAAGTGAAAATCACAGAGTAACAGGATGGATCCAAAAATTTAATCCAACATTCTGCTACCTGCAATAAACACATCTGAATAGGAAAAGCAAACATAGACTCAAAGTAAAAAGATGTAATGCAATCCTACAAGCAAACAACTCCCTCAAAAAGGCGGGAGTGGCCACTGTACACTGTACAGTGTAGAACTCACACTCCTAAATGTATATGCACCTAATGAGGAATCAGCAAAGTCAATAAAATGACTTATTGTAGACATTGATAGCAACACAATAATGGTTGGATATTTCAAAACAGCTTTATCACCTCTCAATAGATCAACACGACTCAAGTTCAGCAAGTATATACTTTATCTGAGGGAAGAAATGGAACACAGGGATCTGGTAGATACATATAGGGCATTTCATTCCCCAAAAGCTGAATACTCAATTCTTCTCAAATACACATGGGACATTCTCCAAGATAGACCACACACTGTGCCACAAAATATACCTCTATAAAATCAAGAGGATAGAAATGGTATCAACAATCTTTTCAGACCATGATACACTGAAAATCAAAGTGAATCACACCTAGCAACAGAAATTCAAACCAAACACCTGGAAATTAAACAGCTCACTACCGAATAACTAGTGGCTTAGGAAGGAAATCAAAGAGGAAATCAAAAGATTCCTGGAAATTAATGAGAATGAAGACACGAGTTACCTTTTGGGACACAGCAAAAGCAGTGTTAAGAGGAAAATTTATCGCTCTAAATACATTCCTCAGGAAGGAAGAGTGTGCCCACATAAATAACTTCACAGCTTAAGATCTTGGAGAATGAGCAACAAAAGGAGCCTAAATCAGACAGGAGGAAAGAAATAATAAAACTTAGAGCAGAAATTAATGACATGGGAACCCAAAAAACAATCTGAAAGATCAGTGAAACTAAGAGCTGTGTTTTTGAGAAAATAAGATCGATAAATTACTAACAAGACTCACAAAAATGAGAAAGAGAGACCCCTAATGAGCAGAATCAGAAACAAAAAGGGAGACATCACACCAGAATTCACAGAAATTCAAAAGATAATCAGAGATTACTGTGAAAATCTTTATGCTACGAAACTAAACAAACTCAAAGACATGGATAAATTACTGGACTCCTAAAACCTCCCAAAGCTGACCCATGAAGACTTGGAATACTTGATCAGACCTATCACTATCAAGGAAATTGAAACAGTAATCAAAATTCTCCCAAGAAAACAAAAGCCCTGGCCCAGATGGCTTTACTAGTGAATTCTTCTAAACCTTTAAAGAAGATCTACTCCCAATCCTGTTAAAAACTTTTTTTTTTTTAGAAATTGAAGAAATAGAAAGACTTCCAAAAAGTCTTTATGAGGCATACCCATAAGTCACCTCCTGTCGGCGCCACATAATCTCCTCATTGGCCAGCCTCCAGAACTCACAGCTACTTCTTCCGGAAGGGAGCGTAAAATGAGGCTCCCATAAGCACGCCACTGGGCTACACGCCAGGCTGTTTTCATTTGGGGTGCCCCAGAGGGTGGTCAGGTGAGAGTCCTCCCTGCCCAAGGGATCCAGCCCTGTAAGCCGATCTCCACAATCCAACTACGGCCACACTCCAGGTCACTTTCCACATGCTCAGTCCAAGCCTCACATATGAGTGAACATATTCCTGCACACATCAGAAGACACTCCCTCCCCATTCTCCATAATTACCACACCACATTTGAGGGGGTTCAGATAGCAGGCACAAATCACAGAGGGAAATATATATATATGCATATATACATATTTTCAGATATATATACCAAAGCTCACATCAAAATAAAATTTTCAAAAAGCTTAAAAAATTACATACTGAAATATAATGATATAGTTAATAAATTTAATCCACTAATAAATCATCAGTATAGTAATTCTTGATAAACTTAAGTAAATAAATATTTAAAATAATGTTGAAATAGGTTAATATCCCTTGAGGAAGTATGACTTAAACTTTAGCTTTATATTTGGCAGAAATAATTTGAAGCTCTTTTATAGAAAAACACATCTAGAAGTTAATAAATAATTTGAGAGATTAGGCCTAATCAATAGTCGCATGTACCAAAGGGCATCTCTTAAATAATTAGTCTTACAATAAGAGTGTTGTTCCAAGGTGTGTTCAGGATAGTAATGAAAAAACATAGTTTCCTTTAATTTATTTTACCAATATGTCTAAAAATCTGAAAGAATAGACATTTTAAAATCAAGCATTTAAGGCTCGAAGAGATAGTACAGCAGGTAGGGTCCATGACTTGACACCAGTTCAATACTTGGCATCACATCTGGTTCCGTGAGCTTTACTAGGAGTAATTTTTGAAAACAGAGCCAGGAGAAAGCCCTGAGTACATTTGTCTTTTGCCCCAAAAGTAAAACAAATTAATTAATTAATTTAAAAAAGTGTTTATAGAAATAGTAATGTGATGAGTGTGTTGTTGAAATTATGTGCATGAGAAACTATCATAAACAGAATAGTAAATCACAGAATCAATAAAATAAATTTGACCAGCTGAAACTCTGGTTAAGAAAATAGCACAGAATAGGTCAGGATTGTAGTTCAGTGGTCAAATAATTATTTCCAGTTCATGGGGTCTTGGGTTCTATCTCTAGCACCGCAAAAACAAATAAGTAGACAAAAATAACCTCTGTTTCTTCTTCCACCTCATCCCTAGTAACATTAAAGATTAAACTAAACAAAAAGATTAAACTTAAAAGTTTGGACGAAAATAGAACAGGAATGGGTGGGTGAGACAAGTCCAGGGATAGAGCACATTCTTACCATTTACAAGAATAAAAGTTGAGTCCTAATGCCACCACATCGGCTAGGTGGGGACCTAGTTGCACTTGAGCACCAAATGTTTAGGTGCACTTTCTGGCCGATGAGCACTGGAATTAACTCTGAAGCTACAAAGCACAGATGTATGTGATCTCTTTTTAAAAAATAGAGGCCAGGGTCGGAGCAATAATCCAGAGGGGAGAGTATTTGCCTTGTACACAGCTGACCCAGATTTGGTCTTCGACAACCCATATGGTCCCCCAAACACCATCCAGAGTAATTCCTGAGTGCAGAGCCAGGAGTAACCCTTGAGGAACATGGTTTGTGACCCCAAAAGCAAAAAAAAAATTTAAAAGAGACTAAAGAAATAGTGAAATAAATAAAGTGTCTTATCCAGCCATCATGGACTTTATTTCCAGCACCATCCTGAACACTACTAGGAATAATCCCTAAGCACAGAGCAGGGAGTAAATCCTATACACAATGGGTGCAGGGAAAAAATTAATAAATAAGAGGCCAGAGAAATAATATTTTGGGCAGGGTGTTTGTCTTGCACACAATTGACTATGTTTTTATCGTTGGCACTCCACATGGCCTGAACCCAACTAAGAGTGATCCTTGAGAGCAGTCAGGAAGAAAACTTTGAATATTGCCAGGTGTCACCCCCAAACTGAATAAATAAACATGATAAGTTTCTACAGTAGAAAGTTGGGTAATAACAATATCATAAACACTTTTTGAAGTGCAATATCTATTTTAAAGAGTAGAGCAATATAATAAAAATCATTCTTGAATTAAATATTAATATATTAAAATCAGTATCATATTGAAAGACAACAATATTAGGCATTCCTATAAGTATACTGTATGGAATATAAAAAACGTTATTTTAAAGAAGTTGAAAAATCTAGAAAAAATAAAACTGTTTTGAAGACAAAGTTATAGTAAATTGTTGGAGGGAAGACCAAAGTAACATATTGTTTAAAATGCCTCCTATGAAGATGGGATTTGAAAAGTCTAAGATTTAAAAAAAATTAAATTTCTTTTCCCCAGGAGGGTTGAGTAAAAGATTTGAGAATGAAACTCAGTAGCTATAGAAAGCTCTTTTTTCTTGATCTCATGTTCTCTAACAAAATTTTCTTGAGTGTGGGAGTACAATGTTCACATTGATCTTATTCAAAGTTCTACCAAAGCATCTACCTAACTTCATTCAAACAACTAAAAAACAATTTAAAATAGAGACAGGCTGGTGAATTGGAGGGAAGCAGGATCCATGGTGGAAGGAAGTGGACACTCGGGAAGGGATGCAAGTTTAAACATTGTATAACATTGTATGCCTGAAACTCAATCATATATAACTTTGTAAT